TCCTTACAGCTTCATTGCTTGGTTCTCCCCCCATGTTATCTAATCCAGAGGTCCCCAACCTTTTGGGCACTAGGGAACAGTGCCATGGAGAAAGGTTTTTCCGCTGACCAGAGGGAATGTGGTTTTGAATACTGCCTGCATCCCGAGGATGGAGCTTTGCTTGCTTGTGTGGCCCGCTTGTTGGCATGCTGCAGACCAGTGCCGGTCCACAGACCAGGGGTTGGGGATCCCTGATCTAATCCATTGGCTTGAGATGAGAAGCCTTTCTTGTTACCTTTTGGGAAGAGGCTTCGTGGTATCCCAAGCAGAACATACAGTTTTGTTCCATATAGCATCAACCTTGTGAACTCTCAAGTTTCCTCTTTCCACTATGTATTCAAAATGGACAGTGATTAATATTTATATGTATATATATATATGTGTGTGTGTGTGTGTGTGTGTGTGTTATGTATGTGTGTGTATAGGTATATACTTTCTTTTGAAAGCAGGCAACAGAATTTCATTTTTAATATGGGCCAGTGTGCTCATGGTAAAAAATGACAATAAAGGTTATCTTATCTTAGAGGTTATGCAGAAGCAGGTAACAGTGGATTGCCACCTCAGCCTGAGATGGAGATGCCCTGGATGTGATGAAGTCTGTAAAGATCTGGATTGGACAAAATCCAGGATGAAATTAATGTAGGTTAATAAATATTGGTCAATAATATAAATCCCTCATTCTTGACAGGTTGTATTCCTCTGAAAAATCTTGGTTCATGACTTGGAAGGTTCGTTTGAAGTCTCCATTCCTGAAGTGAGCAGTGGGCATTCTTGGATCGTGTGCCAGTGACCATTCTACCTTGACCAGGATGCCTTGCACAAAAATAAAATAAATCAAATAAAACACTGATGACTGCTACATTAGACTACTGTGAGGCATTCTGCATGGGACTCCCTTAGAGATGACTAAGAAGCTGCAAGTGATCAAGATGCAGCAGCAATAACTCTCCTAGTTGCTTTTTGTTTTGAATGACTGATGTTGGTTCTGTGTACTGATTGTGTACAGAGTGTTAAATATTCAGCTCCCTCTGCTGCAGCCTGATGAATTGTCTATATTTTAAAATTTCTAGCATAGCTGTTGCTTTTCAGCACATTATTTTGAAAAATGGCTTGAAGTCCAAAATGACTTGAGAGTTTAAAAAGTTTTTGCATCCTTTAACTTTTGATTTTACATTTAAATGTTCAGCTGCAGCCCCACTACTAGACAGATTCCAAATGTCCTAGATTCAAGTTGTGTACAGAAAAGTATATAACTGCAACGTATAGAAAGCTGAACAATGTTAAAATACTTTGGGGTTTTGTAGAAATAAAAGACAAGGGAAGTTAAGGACAAAGGTAATGAAATGTTAATGTGACATTCATTTATTGTAAAGACTGTGAAATGATCCAGATTTTAAGTGGCAACGATTCCTCGTATTTCATTCTGTAGTGAATATAGTTTTTTAATTAAAAGTGTGATCCTTTGTATGTTTACTCAGAATCTTGTCATTGTATTTAAATTAATCTGAATAGAGCTGGAAGGAACCTTGGAGATCATCCAGCCCAACCCCCTTGTTCAAGCAGGAAATCCTATACCATTTCAGACAACTGGCTGCCCAGTCTTTAATTAAAAACCTCCAGTGATGAAGCACCCACAACTTCTGAAAGGCAAGCTGTTCCACTGGTTAATTGTTCTTTTAGGAAGTTTGTCCTTAATTCCAGGTTGTCTCTTTTCATGATTAGTTTCCATCCATTGTTTCTTGCCTTGCCTTCTGGTGCTTTGGAAAATAACTCCCTTTTCTTTGTGGCAGCCCCTCAAATATTGGAACACTGCTATGTCACTCCTAGTCCTTCTTTTCTCTAGACTGGCCAGACCCAATTCCTGCAACCGTTCATGCATTTTAATCTCCAGGCCTTTAATCATCCTAGTTGCTCTTCTCAGCACTTTTTCCAGTCTCAACATATTTTTGTGATGTGGTGACCAAAACTGAATCTGGTATTCCAAGTGTGGCCATACTAAGGATTTATAAAGCAGTACATTTATTTATTTGTTTGTTTATTTATATATCCCTCTTGTCCCCTTATGTTTTCAGAAGTGTAGTCTATATTATTACTGTAATTGTCAAGGTGATAAAAGAATTGTTGAGATGCTGAGATTCTGATTGGCTAAAAGTAAACAACATTCACATTCAGTCAGATGTCACAAATTTCACAATGGACAGTGTTTTTTCAAAGAGGAATCTACAGGTATTAAAGACATATAATGCTGCAAACATTTTTAAAATAGACCACCCATTTTAAAATTAATGTTGGAAGAAAGGAAAGGTGGAATCAACTAAGGAGAACAAGAAATAAGATTTAATTCATATTCATGGCAACACTTGCCAAGCAGTTTTTCTTCTTTTTGTACACTTTCATCAAAGTCTTAAGAAAACCTTCAAATGTTGGGTAATTTCCATCACTCCACAGGATGGATTGCAAATTGCAACAAAAAAAAGCTGTGATTCTTTTTGTATCTGTTTTTCCTTATTTCAGTGTATCTGTATGTAATACAATGCTTTGGGAGGTGAACTGAGGGCACTAAAAGCTGCTAATTATATCAAGTAAACTTAGCAGATGGTCTTTGAATGAATGAAAAGAGGCAGTGAGTTCCATATGAATCATTTACTGAATAAATACATGCAATAGCAAAATTAGATCAGCAAAAAAATGCAATCTGTAGTCAAACTACTCTTCTTTTTTCTTTTCTCTTCTCTTCTTTTCTTTTCTTCAGTTGCTGCATCATGATAGAGAGTTCAAAGCAGGAAAGAATGTTAAATCCCTAAGTCAAATAACAGCTTCATTGTTGGTCAGATTACAACAGCTCTAAATACAAAATGCAGCAAAAAAACCCTGCACCAAACAGTTTCAATAGCACATAAAGATGGGTAAATACAGAGAACAAAGCTTGGCTTTCATTACATGAAATATTTAAGCTTTCTTTTTAAGGCACAGAATAAAAAACACAGAAATCTAGTCTGATGGTTACTCAGTCATAGATTTGCTAATTGGAATCTCATCAATCCTTATCGTTCTTCAGTGAACCATTAAACTGTGAACAGAATATTCATGGACTCAAGTTTCTATGTCCCAAAGGCAGAAAAAATGTTTTACTAATAATTCAGATTTTGGTCCAAATTTTCTACATCTCTTTACTGCAGAGCTATTTTCAATACATTTCACATAGCATCAATTCAATTTTTTGCACTTTATGCAAAATGCAAGAAATGTGGCCTTATTAGAAAGAACAGAGAAGATGATAGGGATGAAAAAATTACTTTATGTAGCTTAACATCAAACTAAAGGCTTATTTCAACTTACTAATGGGCCTTTGTTTTTTCTCATTTTTTATTCCTTTTGCCAATTTTAGTTTTTGATTGCAAAAAAGCCCGAAGTGCTAGATTGTTCTGCATACATTTGTTGATATTATGAGCCTCTTCTTCTCACACTATCCTTTATTAGAATTCAAATACAACTTTGGAAATTACTACTTAAGCAATGCCACCATACAGTACTCTTACTTACTGATGTCACTTTAATCCACAAGTGAATGCAAGGGTTAGATGATCTCTTAGTTTTCTTCGGTAAAACGTCAAATTATGTGATTATTTATATATATCATTTTTTTCCTTATAACTATAGTTGATGGCTGAATCCTCTTGCATATTCTCCCTTCTTAGATTTCCCTGAAAGTTGTCATGTAATAAATGTATTTTTGTCATTTAAAAGGAAGTGATAACCACTAACCTAAGCTATGTTGTGAGAAGAGTTACATGCTATTCTGTATGAAGCCAATGTCAGATTGATGTTATAAAGTCTACCTCATGAGGCACATTCATAATAAAACACAGGAGAAGCATACATGCCCATGTGCAGGTACATCACACTGAAATATAGACAACTGATATTCAAAACATGATATAGACAATTTGCTACATATGTTACAGGCACTTTGGTATCTTAGTAGTCTAGTTATTTATAGGGCACAATGGGAAGATCTCTACAAGCTTCAGTGAAGACTGCTCCTCTTGGAGAATTTCTTCAAAATTGTCTAAGCCAGAGTTAAGATTTTGTAGGTTCAATTATAAAGCTAATATCCCTAAAGTTTATTCACCCATGGAAATCATTTGGCCAGAAGACTTTCTAAGACTCTCTAAATTCTGATAAAATATTATTATTTTATACCATTATATTATTTTTAGAAAGGCATTGCATAAATATTCAAGATGGTGTGTAGCTACCAACTTCCATGGAACTATTGCCATTTCTTGGATTAAAATACAAAAATTCATCATTTTTGTAAAAACCATCTGAGGAAGCTGTGAAAAATATTTGAATAAATAGCAATAGCACTTTGACTTATATACCTCTTCACAGTGCTTTACAGCCTTCTCTAAATGGTTTACAGAGTCAGCATATTGTCCCCAACAATCCTCATTTTACCAGCCTTGGAAGGATGGAAGCCTGAGTCAATCTTAAGCCGGTGAGAATTGAACTGCTGGCAGCCAGCAGTCAGCAGAAGTAGCCTGCAGTACTGCATTCTGGGCCAACACTGCTCCTGATTAACTATAATTAATGCCCCCTTGATTCTATTCTGACAGCAACAATGAATAAAATGTTCACACTCAAATAACAAAGCCCATTTTTGCAAACTGTTCTTGTATTTCCTGGGCCTGCAAATATCAAATGGGAAAAAAGCTATACTGATTAGAAAATACATTGGATTTTAAATGACTCACAGGTGGTCTTTTTTCCTGCATTATTGTTATACAGAAGCACTGTGGATCAGCTTCAATGCTGCTTTTGCACACTCTGTCCTCCCATTCTACACTGTCATATTCCTTATTAGTAATGTGTGAATGAATCAATTTTGGAACTGATACTTTCAAAAAGAATGCAGTGCAGTGAATGCTATGTGGCTAATACATGCATTGATAAAAAAAAAAAAAGAATTAACTGCTCAAGGCACCAATACTGATTTCTGAATTTCTGCTTGATTCTTTCATAGTTGTTTCAGTACCAATACTGATAGTACTGAAACAACTATGAAAGAATCAAGCAGAAATTCAGAAATCTCTGCAACTTGAGCTCATTATTTGCTGGTATTCCACATACAATTGTAAACATGCTTTTAGACTCAGTTATAAACAGTTTCCTATCTGTAGCAATCAATGTGACATGACAATGTTGTATCAGGGTGGCTGCCAAATCCTAATTCATTATATATCTTGAGCATACTGTTACATAGGCATTTCCCTACATTGCGGAAAGAGCAAATAAATTTTTAATAAGAAGTGGTGAATGGAAAAAACATAGTACTGTACTATATAAATCTTCATTTCACATCCTGGCTAAATATATAATATCTGCATTTGTGAATTATATGCATTATCTGAAATTCAAAGAATACATTTTTCAATATAAATATTAAAGGTTAATATTTTGTATTTTTCCTTTTTGCAAATCTTTAATCATACATCATTACATCAATAGCTTTCATTTTTAAAAAATAAGAAACTCTTAAATCCATAATATTAGTAAGATTAAGTCCATTTTGCTAGCTAGGCTATTTTCAAAATTGTCTTACGGTTTTTATATCATACGTTTTTTCAAACAAAATAGTTTTCTTTGACATTTTCTTCTGCATTCACACCTCTGAGGAAAATGCATTTTAAAAAATAGTATCTATTTACATGGCAGACATCTTGATGAAACACAAATAAGATAAAAAAAGTAAAAGATAGCCCACTTTTCTTAAGGACAGAAATGCCATAACAGGACCTACTGAAACAAATGTTTATTCTACAAACCTATTGCACATTAATATTGTTGTAACAAATGAGAAAAAATGGTTTATAAGTAAGCTGACTTAAGCCTATGGCAAAATCTCAAAATATAATAAAACGGTTGGGGTGATGGGCCAAGTAACTAAGTGTTATAAAAAGTAATATTGTAATAACAATGCTGATAAAATACATAAAGATTTGCAAAGATATGCTAACAGGAGCTTCTAGAATCCAAAGCTGCCTAAGGTGCAACATTAGGCCTTGTCCCATCTTCTGTCAAGTCATACCTATAAAGCGAACAGAAGAAAAAAGAAACAATAAACTCTTATCCAAATTCTCAATGAGGTAAAATTGAAAAGGCATCCTATGGCTGTACTTACCACTGAGTACAATTTTTGGAAAGTTCTTCTGAAGCCAGTGGTATCAATACCTGTGAGAACAAGAAACTAAATTATGACACTAGATTCTACATGTGGAAAGACATCCTAGCTTCTGGCTTTGACTCCTAACCTCATGTATGCATAAAGTCATTGCTCACAAAAGTGAAATCTGAACTGTGATCCCACTACAAAGTTCTCTTCAACAACGAGCTTTATTTTATGAATATTTTTCACAGCTTCCCCTCCACGTGCATGGATCTTAAATCCTAAGAAGAAATATGTCAAACAAGGTAAAAGTAACGTCTGAGATTTTTTTCCAACTCAAATCTTTACAGATCAGCTCAATAGGATCTTGCTACTGAATAGATAAAGGAAAAATAAGTAATTCTGTTTCAGAATCAGATCTATCGGATTAGTTTATTAGTTTATGTCCATAATCCATCCTCATCCTCTTGGATTTCTGGAAACACCTCAAAACATGGCTCTGCCAATTGGCATGGGGGTCCCATTGGGGGGGGTATTCTGTGCTAGAGGTGACTAGTAGATTACAAAAGAAGATCCCATCTCCATGCTGCTCATGTACTTGGTTCCCAGTTTTATCTAATTCCTGTTAATTTTAATGTTTGTATGCTCTTCCATTTACTGTCTTGTAAGCTGCCCGGAATCACCTGGATAGTGAGACATGTAGCATATAAATTAAATAAATAAATAAACTTTGCCCCCAAAAGAGGAAATAACTGATATTCTACAATACTTCAATTCACATTTATTTGCCACATGCTTTTTTTACATCTGCGATACTCACCTTGCCAAGCAGACCTTTATCTTTAGACAAGAATCCTCCACTGTTCTTCACTGCAACATCTAAAGTTCTTCTTTGTAGATCAGCCAACGAAACGCTGAAATCAAAACTGAGGAGGGAAAAATGTTTCAGACAGAATATAATCAAAGTAGTTTGAAATCAGGAGATCTGTAGCTTCAGAGTATTTGGCTAAAGGACCCTGAAAATCAGCAAGATTTTTGAGGTTACAACTGCTCAACTCATATCTATTACATAAGGAACATTTCCCTCTGCAAAATTATTTGTATTCCACTGTTTCTATGCTCATTTTAATATCTATATTTCCCCCCGGGCACAACTCCAAATTCTATTTTGTTAAATTAAAATATTTATATCAATTAGCACTCAATTGATAGGCTTTTTTGACAACTTATCTTCTACAAAGAATATTTTGATCGTACCGAAAGACCCATTTTTTATAATCTTATTTATAGAGAGGATAACAAAATAAACCAGGGGATGCTAATTAGCCACATGATGCATTTATTTTTATCTTCCTGCATTGCATGTCTAGTGACAGTGAAATATTAACCACTTTCTAGATGACTTCTCAAAAATCAATATAAGTCCCATTTCAGTACAAAGAAAGTAATTTTAACTATTTCCCAACTTTATGCTATAAAAACAGGAAACAGACTGCAACATACGCCTGATCAAACACTGGATTTAAATTCTTCTTTGAAACACTCGTTTTTCTTCTCCCTGATCTCCTCTTGTCAGGCAGTAAATACATTCGAACATAGGGATCAGACCCTTCTTCTGAAAAGGCGATTAAATTTCTAAAATAAAGGGGTACAAAATATTCAGATCAGAAATAGTTAATAAAACAGCACATCTGCAGATTTTGGCAATGTTCAGTAGGGACCCCCTTCTTCAGGATTCACTGAACTCTTTTTTCCCATCTGCCTGGATACAAGCCCTCATCCTGGATTTCCAAAGTCACAGTTAAACTGGGAGATTTAACTGGAGGAATAAAGTTCAGCATTTTTGACAAGATGGGGCAAAGAAAGCAGAGCCTTCCCAGTTCTCTAACATAGCTACCTTGTAGATAAATTGATAAATGCAAGAAATACGATCACCTGCATGTGTGCACCACCACCATAAGTTTGTTTCTCTGTGAACTGTGGCGAATGGTTAGCTGAATCTGGCCCAATGGAGACTGTCCCAACGTTGTTCCACTACAAAAATCAGGATAATGCAAACTGTCAAGGTTGAGTTTCCACAATGATAAAACAATAATTCTTCCTTTTGTGATTTTGTGGATACATTATATCCCAATGACAGAAATATGAAATAAATATTTCAATAAGGACCCTAAAATACTGTTCTAACCCACCTGTACACATAATCCCAATGAGATTCTGTATGTACAATTTACAATTCATTCTGATTTTCCAGACACAATTAAAATACAGCATTACTGAATATTAAGTAATTGTTGATTTGTGAAGACATGTTTTGGAAGTAACAATACAAAACAAGAGCTGCTTATTGTGCAGAAACTGGGGAGGAGAAATACTGGCAATATATAAATTGTGAGATGCCAGGACTGGTGCTTTTTAAACTTGCAAATAAATATCTGAGTCAAGGTGGAGACCTCGTGAAAATGTCAATTCAATGTACAGATGTTGTAAACAAAATGCAAATATTATGCTTAGAATCATTAGGAAGAGAACTGAAAGTAAAATGCCAAGGTAAGAATTTATGAATAGATACAATATAAAAAAAGAACTTGGGACTGTACTTTTCAAGTTGCCTCAGACGTTGTCGCAGCTCCTGAGTGGCGATGGGGAGAGAGATGTCTGAAGCGATACTTGGAGTAGGTTCTTTGACTGAAAGGTGGCTGGGAGAACCACTTAAATTGGAGGCCAGAAGACTGGAGGAACTTCTGCTGAGATCTGTTGGCCACTGTGGATTAGGATTGGATGGTAGGCCTGTTTCTGTCCCGTCAGCCCTTTTATTGGTATCTGTGACTGTAGAACTTGGGGCTTTGCTCACGTCAGCTGCTGGAGAGGAGGGAACCTGAGGCTTGAAAGTACCCTTCCTCCCATCTTTGGAAACAGAAGGCCTCTTCACTTTGGCCGAATATTGGTAATCTGGAGATCTCTCTTGGTTTTCAAGAGAAAGGATCTAATAGCCACAAAATAAACAAGAAGACCACTTTCATTCCTTCTTACAGTTCAGAAAAAAAGTTGCCTACACTGTTGAATGGAGCTTCAAAGATTGCAGAACCCAGCATTGGGGAGGAAGCAGAGGTACACGAACAGATTACAAGAGAACCAAAGCAGATCTAGAGTTGTCTTTAAGGCTATTTTTCCTCTCTTTCCAATTGCTCTATAGAAACATCCCTGGAAAATCTCATATAGTATGTGATTTATCAAAGAGTTCTGCATAACTAGAATGTTTGCCGTTCATCACCATCATGATGGGGAAAACAAAAGTCTACCTGAATTAAGCTTTATTGATAAGAAATAGTTTATAGGTAGTCCTCAACTTATTACCAGTGCTTATTGTCTATTCAAATTATGACGGACCCTAAAAGGTGAGTCCCAATTCTGAAGTTCCAATGGCTACTCCCCCGATCACGTCCACATTTTGGACAATTGGCAATCGGCCTGCATTTACAGTCATTTGCAGCACAGTCATGTGACCACAATTTATATTTTTGCTGAAAAGTTTTTTTCTGGCTTTCATCAACATCCCATATCAAACAATGGGTTTGCTTAACACCTACCATAAAAAGGTGATCACATGATCACCTGCTTTTAAACTTTCAGGAGTTATGACTGCAATGGGCAGGCTCCATTATGATCCTAAATCAAAGACTGTCTGTACTCTTCTTACAGTTTACAGAAGGAAAGTTTCAATGGAACAGCTACACATCTCACTTGGTGGAACTTTCCATTTTGTAGCTGTGGAGAATTTAAAATATACATCAATCCAGCCTCTTCCATTTGTTAAGCACTGGCAACCTTGATATTCCTCTCAATAAGAGTTATGATTTTTGCTACCAAGCTTTTTTCAGAATCTTTTACAATCTCCCCTGGATTTAGTCCCTGAAAAAATATGTTTTGAATGGTTTATAGGTGCTTCATACATTATAGATGCTACCAGCAATGTGTAAAAAGCTGGTGTTGTATAGAATGCCTAGTAAATCTGTAGAATGCATGACATTTTTAGGCAAAGCATGAAATGTCTGTTATTTTAATGTGCTGTATATTTTCCCTTGGCATTGTATATAATACCTTGGTATTATGCAGCATAGTAAGAGAGTCATGAAAAGCATTAAGGCTAACCCTACCCCTAACCCTATCCCTAACCTTTTATTGAAGACCTATACGAAAATGAAAAAAGAAATGCAAAATAAAGTACTGAACTTTCTTACTAAAAAAAAAAGAGAGAGAAAAAGACCAGTATTGACCTACTTGTTCCAACAAGAAAGGCTAGAATAGCATTTTCGCAGAAGATTTTATACTTTGCCGGTTTGCCTTTTGGCACTGCATAGAATGCCTAGGCCAGGGGTACAGTAGGCAACCTTGGCTCTTTTATGACTCATGGACTTCAACTCCCAGAATTCCTGAGCCACCTACCCCTGGCCTAGGGAATGTGTGAAATATTAATATTAAATATTTCATACTTTGACATCCCATTTTTGGCACTGTATAGATTTCCTAGGCATTCTATAAAATGCCTAATTTCACACATTAACAGTAACATAGACAAAGGAGCAAATGAGATGAAAGAGATGTAGAAATCCTGTGGTATCTAAAATGAAGTTAACTGAGTCTGCTTGTTGCAAGATGTTACTTAGAGTGTAATGTCAGATATGGGAACAGCATGATGGGTAGTATTATTTGTTATCATACACACATAATACACATATAGTGTGTAGCAAGTTGGCATTTCCAGATGTTTTGGATACAATTCCCTAGAATCCCTGATCCACTGAACTATATCTTTTAAAGATCTTGGAGCACTGTGGAACTACCGGAGGACTGGAAAAGAGCTGATGTAGTTCCCATCTTCAAAAAAGGGAAAAAAATAGATCCAGGAAACTACAGACATATCAGCCTAACCTCAATCCCTGGGGAGATTCTGGAAAAGATAATCAAGCAACAAATCAGTAAACATCTAGAGGCAAACAAAGTCATAACCAAAAGCCAACATGGGTTTGACAGGCAAATCTTATTCTATTCTTTGACAAGGTGACAAAATTAGTGGACCAGAGGAATGCTGTGAATATAATTTACTTGGACTTCAGTAAGGCATTTGATAAAGTAGAAAATGGTGGGTTAGACAGCATCACCACCAGATGGATTCGTAACAGACTGACCAACTGCACTCAACGTGTAGTCCTCAATGGAACTGCATCTACATGGAGGGAAGTATGCGGTGGGGTACCCTAAGGCTCTGTTTAGGCCCGGTGCTCTTCAACATCTTCATCAATGATTTGGATGAAGGGATAGATGGGGAACTCATCAAATTTGCAGATGACACCAAGCTGCAGCAATAGCCAACACTCCAGAAGATAGGCTTAAGATACAGAAGGATCTTGACAGGCTTCAACACTGGGCACTATCTAACAACATGAAATTCAATGGTGAAAAAAGTAAGGTTCTACATTTAGGCAAGAAAAACCAGATGTACAGGTATAGTTTAAGAGGTACTTTGCTCAATAGTAGTAACTGTGAGAAGGATCTTGGAGTCCTAGTGAACAATCACTTAAATATGAGCCAGCAGTGTGCTGCAGCTGCCAAAAAAGCCAACACAGTGCTAGTCTGCATTAACAGAGGGATAGAATCAAGATAATGTGAAATATTAATACCACTTTATAATGCCTTCGTAAGATCACACTAGGAATTCTGGACCCAGTTTTGGTCACTATGATGTAAAAAAGATGTTGAAACTCTAGAAAGAGCACAGAGAAGGGCAACAAAGATGATCATGGACTGTAGGCTAACATATATAAGGAACGGTTGCTGGAACTGGGTATGTCTAGTTTAACAAAGAGAAGGACTAGGGTGTCATGACAGCAGTTTTCCATTATCTTAGGGATTGTCACAAAGAAGAGGGAGTCAAGCTATTCTCCAAAGCACCTGAGGGTAGGGCAAGAAGCAACAGATGGAAACTAATCGAGGAGAGAAGCAAACTAGAACTAAGCAGAAAAAAAATGTTCCTGACGGTTGGAAGAATTCATCAGTGGAACAATTTGCCTCCAGAAGTAGTGAATGCTTCAACAGCGGAAGTTTTTAAGAAGAGATTGGACAACCATTTGTCTGAAATGGTATAGGGTTTCCTGTCTGAGCAGGAGGTTGGACTACAAGACTTCCAAGGTCCCTTCCAACTCTGTTATTCTATTCTATTCTATTCTATTCTATTCTGTTCTGTTCTGTTCTGTTCTGTTCTGTTCTGTTCTGTTCTGTTCTTATCCCTATCCCTATCCCTATCCCATTCTTGTGTATACTGGCTAGTATTTATAGAAGAGTAATCCAAAACAACTTGGGAGACAACCAGGTTACCCTTTCCTGGTGGATATGATGTTATATATGAAAAGAGTCCTGGTGGTAAGAGATTAAACTGTAATATTGCAGGCAAACTCTACCCACAGCCAGGAGTTTGATCCTGACAGGACTCAAAGTTGACTCAGCCTTCTATCCTTTCGAGGTCAGCAAAATGAGGACCCAGATTGTAGGGGGCAATATACAAATAATGCTTACATTGTAAATCACCCAAAAAGTGCTATGGGGCAGTATTTAAGCCTAAATGCTATTGCTACTGCTATTGCTATTAATTCATCAGAAAATATCCTTATTTATTATCTGTTGTAAAGATATGCAACCATGATGCACTGTGTGTCATTTTAAACTCTTAATTTTGCCATTTTAAAGGGAGCTATATTTTGACATAAGGAGCATTATAGTTGCTTTTACTCATTCTAACTGTGGACTTTCCTATAGATTAAGCAGATATAAGAAAAGGAATTGTTTCACATTAAAATTAGATCTCTGGGCATTTCTTCTTAACGTGATGGGAGACAACTCTCCAAAGCTTTAGGCAGAAATCTTAATTACTTTTGCTTTTGGGCAGCAAAACTGAAACATGGTGCTGACTGAACTCTTTTCATGCAAAAGAGTTATGCTCCATCATTAAAATGCAGACGATATTACTCTATGGGATATATTGACACTTTCACCACGGTCTGCAGCTTTGGTCTCAAGAACTTTCAACGTGTCAAGTAAGTAAGTAAGTTTACAACTTCTTATTCCCAAGCAATCACATCTTTTAAAACCTTTTCCCAACTTTCTTTCTTCAAATATAATTTACATATTACTACCATTACCACAATTCTTACATGCTTAATTGTAAATACATTTTAGGAAACTAATATACCCTGAGTGCAATCTTCATGTATACAGTGCTGTTTGGACCAGAATTGTTAAGATGAAATCTCTGATGCATAGTTAGATCTTCACTTGCAAGGAGTTGGTTAAGAGGAAGCTTAAAATTTCCCAAGGAGCACTGGTGTTGTTCATCCTTGACCTATAGAAGAAGGAAAAAGAATTATTACATTTAAATGAAAACCTGTATTAAAAAAAAGTTAACAATTTTTTGATTGATTATTCAATTAACCTGATCCTTGACCCATTAATAAACTTAATCAGCTTAGAATGAACCCATGCAAAAAGGTATTAGGCACACTGACTTTTTCTAATAAAGAAAAAGAATACAGTATTTAAAAACAATTTAATAACAACACATGTATCAATAATTAAGCAGGACATCTTTGTTTCCTATAATCTGAATTTCAGTGTATTGCGCTCAAATCCAGCACTAGAGAAAGCCAAATTTGATATGACATTTATGCTATGTTTAGTATAAAGTAAGTTTTACAATATATTACATATATATTACCAAAAGAATTAAAAAAAATTCTAATCACATACTTCAAATTTGTTAAGCAAATGATTCCATATAGGCAGAACCACAACTATTTCCAAGAATAGATCCCTTATCTATTCAGCAAAACATTTACAAATTTCGAGAGTAAAACATTTTTTGCTGCAATAGTCCCAATACTGTAGCCCAGGAGTCTTCAAACTCAGCGTGCCTGGCTGAGGAATTCTGGGAGTTGAAGTCCACAAGTCATAAAAGGGCCAAGTTTGAAGACTCCTGCTGTAGTCATTCTGGCATTCCACCCTCAATAGATATCTCAGATCAAGCAAATAGCTAGACCTACCTCAACTTCTAGTTCTTGTCGTCGAGGATTATGGACGAAAAAAGTGAAATGCTCTTCCCAAACGGGTTCATTGGTCTTATAGCGGATCTATTCAAAGGCAGGATTCTTTATTAAAATATATGGCAAAAAAACCAAAGCCTACTTACACAGACACAGAGACATTCTTCTCCCTTTGCTCCAAGGACTGCATGTCCTTGGGTAATATACTAAGGGCACTGGACAACAGTGGAAATCACAGAGCTAGGTATTCAACATACACATGCATATAAATATATACAAACATTAAAGTGATCTGCATTGGAAGTCTGTACCTCACACTCTCCAATGGGCTTTGTCCCTCAATGCAAATTACAGATATCAGGAATTTTCATCCAGATTAGATATCTGGAATGGGCAACAGAGTATTTTTAACCTTTTATTTCACCTGTACTCCCAATCCAGATCAGAAATATGATTTGTAGTTTTGTGTGTGTTATGTGAAGGATATTGTCCTCTTAAAGCAGCTTACAAGTACAGTACTTCTTATCCGAAGAAACTCACAGCAGAATGTCCCTTTGAGAAAAACCATGCTACCCACTCCTTCCACACCAATTCTAATTCAGACCCAAGTGCCTGCAAATTGCTTGGGGGTGAGAATGGGGGGGGGGGGTTTCCATTAGTTTTGAAAGAAATTGTTACTCTTACAGATGGATTGATGTGATCCTGTATATACAAAACCCGAAAAACATAGGATGGTGTGAACTGTATTGCTTTACAGAAAAGGACAAAAGGGGTTAACACTTACTTTGCTTTCTTGTGCGTTATGTCCAACTGTCATTAAGACAAGAGGATTTGGGTTACTGTTCATTTTCTTCCCTGACTGAAAATGCAGAAAACAATAATTCTATTACTCTTATCTTCTCTCTATCCACATTCTGTGTCACAAACATATATGATATAGGAATCACATAACTTACCTTGAAAGATTTGTACATAGAAATCACTGAAGCTTCCAACCTCTTTACAAGTATTGTGTTTTTGAATGAATTGGTTTAAGGTGCTCCACCTTTCATCCTTAAATAAGCATTTCATCCCCCCTCCCAAATTAATGAAGCAACATTAGAAAAAATGAATGAATGTTGCGGTCAGCAAGCAAAAGGGGAATATGGGGAAACCGCAAGCTTAGAAAGCTAATCTTACATATGTGGAATGATTGAAAAGAATGTCAGAATCATAAAACATTTGGAGGTTAACAAAAGAGATGATATGCTATGGTTTCTATTATAGGTTTACCCAGTTTTCTTACTAGAACTACAAAAGTAATGTTATAGAACTCAGATTATGAATGTCTGTTAATAGGCTCCTTACTAATTTCTCAGATAAACATTTTTTGTTAAGAAGGAGTTACAGAAGTTAATCTGAAGCATCTATCAATGCTGTTAATACATTAACTAAATTATTAATAATTAATTTAAACTGGAACTCCAAAAAAGCAACATGATTAAGAGAAGTTAAAACAATGTTAAGACAAACATTGCAGGCTAAAGATATGGGTATTCTCAACTCAACACGTTATTTTGAATTTTTAAAGGGTAACACATATTTAGTTTAATTTCTATATCAATCTGCTTGTAATTATTTCTCACTGAGAAGATCTTTAAATTGACAGAAAATTCATTCAGATTTTCTCCCAAATTAGTTACATTTATTGAAAATTATCATCAAGAGCAAAATATGAGTCATTGGGATCTTCACTAATATCATCCTCTCTTATATTACATATTTTTAAATATGTATGCAGGAGTGTCTCAAACATGTCTTTATTTGGTAAAATGTATTGTTTATTGAATGTTTGGCCTGTTCAGATAATGAGTTGTTCAGATACTTATTTCTTCTTATTTTTTTCTTAACTTTATCAATTTCTGGTTTTCCAAATGCTTAACTAAAACTCAGATAATTTATTCATTACTGAATGGCAAAACTGATGGATAGGCAAAATGACTCTCAGAATATAATGCATTACTTCTTTAATATAAGCAGAACTTGTTTCTAACAGTAACCGAAGTAAGATTTAAGTCTTACTTATTGCCTCAGGAAACAGGGAACCACATTGATTTTTTATATATGCTACCAATTAAGGTAAGGAGAAACAGATATATACTGTCTATATATCTGCTTACAGCTAGCCTTTCAGTTCAATCAGCAATACTGAGTTGTGCATCTGCACAATTTATAAACTAATTATTCTGTGCTGTCAGCATCTTCAAAAAAGTACTGCTCCTACTTTCCACATTAGTGGCAGGACTAAATTTAGTTTTCTACTGGCAATTCGTCTTATTAATTCCATGCTTGTATCTACAGTGGTGATCCTGAAACAAAAGAGATGGAATTAATAAGCCTACAAAGGGTTTGTGTTTCATGATTACTTAGTGGCCCTTATTTTAGTTTTGTTATGAAGATTTTCATTGCCAATATGCACTTACATTCCAAGTTCAGCAAATGTATTAAAAAGGGATCAAGGAACTTAGAAATTCTCTGGATTAAAAAAAAGCATCCACAGGTTTAATAAAAGCATGCTTTTGAAAATGTATTGGACATTCAGTACTATTTTAGAAGAATTAATTTGTTTAATAGTAATAATATAGATGGCTCTCTAATGCCAAAAATAATTCCTTATTAAAATTAAAGATTGTTTCTATAATTTATGTAATGCAACCACTGATGGGATGTGCCTTCTGCTCACAAATTAATGTTATTGTGTCCTGAACTAACTTTGTGACACTAAGCCCATGTCTCCTGGAATTCAAAATACTTAAGGATATTTTCTATTTTTTTTAAGACTGCCTTTATAATTTTTGTACATAACTCAAAGTGGCAGATGTATCTAATCCTTTTTCCTTCTCCTATTTTCCCCATAATAACAATACTGTGAGATGAGTTGAGCTGAGAGTGAGTGATTGGTCCAAAGTCACGCAATCAGCTTTCATGCCTAAAACAGGATTAGAATTCAAGTCTCGTGGTGATTGGCCCAAAGTCACCCGGACGGCTTTCATGCCTAACTCACAGACTCTTGTTTTGAATTTGGTACCTTCACCATTAGACCGAACTGGCAGCCCAGAATCTTCATTTAATTGTGTGATTTTAAATGGAAAATTGTATCACTTTTACCTTTAAGACTTTCTGAACAGCAGACTTCTTCAAGGCTTCTGGATTATAATCTAATGGATTATGCTTTTAAACCAGAAGAAAATGAACATATGGAGGGTTAATATGACATGCAACAAAGTAGTTCCAATTGGTTAATTAAGGACAGGACAACAACAGCAGACCAAACAAACGTTCTCAGAAGAAAGACAAAAATGCTTGAACATTTTGTTATTTCTAAAAAATAACTTGATACACCCTTTTTTTCTTATTCCATTTTAAATTAGAATATTTCACTGACTTTTTCCAGTCAGGCTAAGATTCTCCTATTTGCTGTACCTTTTTTTTCTACAATCCTCCAACGCATTTGATTTGATGATATGGATACAAAAAGTAGACTAGATCTAACCAGCTGATAATTTTCATTAACAATTTCTAATTTTATTTCAGAAAAACTGTAAAGCAGGCAAACTATAATGAATTAAAACTACAGCACTACCAAACCAAACTGATTTTAGAAATTAGGGATTCTTAAAAAGAGAGAGAGAAGGAGAGGGACTCTAAGGTTTCATTTTGTCCCAAAATTTCTGAGATGGAACATACAGTTAAATCCCACTTTAAAAAATGGAATGGAAGCTAAATTGCTAGGGAAAGTATTCTAGCTAACTGAAAACAGGAAAAGGAGGTGGAATTCTCTGTCCTCCGGAATAACTGTTTAAAGTTTGTCTGCAGTGAGTCTTGTTTTCAATGGGAAAAAATGTTATAAAAGCTTGTACATATGTCTCAATATTATACATCATGAGGCTGAAAAATTATACCAAAAATTGACAGAAAGTTTATGTCTGATGAACTGAAGAGTTGTTGACCACTAAGCTTTTTAACTAAGGATGAATTTACTTCTAGATTGTTTCACTCGGTTTAATCACCTAAGTTCTCTCTATCTTTTTTAGATTTAGATTAGAAATCTAAATCAAAATTTCTGCTTGTCTTCTTGGCAGGAAGCATACTTCCAAATAAAGCTCCTATCCAAATATTTACCTCAAGAAACCTTGTGTAGGCTGTTTATTTGAGAACATTATTGTTATAAAGATGAACTAAAGGCTGGCACTTTTGCTTTGGGGTGCGCCAGTTCTCCTTTTCTCTAATTAAACAAATCTAAAAAAATATAAGGTCAGATGGGCAGGAAAAAAAGGTAGTATCATAAATTTATGGATACTTTTAAAAAGGTACTGTATACAGGTACTTGTACTGTGTGAATATGTCTCTCTCTCTCTCTCTGTGTGTATGTATATGTGTATGTGTGTGTGCATAGTATAATACTGTATACTGTATATAGTTCTCTATAGTTCTTAATTTATAATCACTTGCTTAGCAACCAAAATTTTGACAGAGCTACTGATGGTGGAGAAGACTTATGATCCAGATTCAAAGTTCCATTGATTAGCCCCCTCTACAGTCTCATGACCGCATTTTGGACACTCAGCAATAGAGTTGCATTTATGGCTGTCTGCAGTGTCCTGCAGTCATTTCGCTGCATTTTTACGCTGATTTTTTCTTTTTGGCAAAACTGCACCCATAATTAATTGATTTGCTTAATGACTATAGTGTTTATTTAACGACCTTCACAAATATATATATATATATATATATATATATATATATATATATATATATATATATATATATATATATATATATATATATATATATATATATATATATATATATATGTAAAATTGGGTCAGTCACATGAATGATCCATTTTATGACTGTCACAAGTTACAACCATGGTAGGCAGGTTTCATTACGGTCATAACTCGAGGACTTCCTATATTCTTCTCTAAATTTGTCTTGGCTATGCTCTTTATATCCTCTGTTTGGCTGTCTACTTAAGTGTAATAACAACTTGATGCAGCATGATGTACTTTTAGAAAAAGTGCCCCTTCTCTATGCTTCTAAAAGCTTTGGCCTAGTAGTAGTTTTATGCTGAATGTATATTTGCCTAGACTGGAAAAAGTCTCCTCTTACTTTTTTCCCATGTAGTTTCTTAGCATTTAATTTTCATCGCCTAATGGTTCTTGCTACAGTACTTTCTTTGGAGAGATTCACACACATAACAGATGCATTCAAGACTGCCATGAAATTTTGCCTCACAAAATTCTCCTCAGTTTAGGATGAATACCATAACTGCTTTTGATGAAGAGGAGCCAACAGTATCAAAGTAAAAATAACAGATGACAGAGGTGTTTGCGGCTTGCATGCCACTGTCATGCAAATTCCATAATGCTTATTAAGGAATCTTTAAGCTATAAAAAGAGAAGGAACAGCTCCAGTTCCACAAAGAAAAAAAACCAAGGTGAAGTTTAATTTGGGTCAAGTTGCTGTTAAATAGCTTCTTTTTCTGATCAACTTTCACTTCTGTAACACATCATTTCAATTGCCTTAATAGAGCTGGTAGTTTAACAATGCACTGAAATCAGAGTTTAAGGATTGATAGCAAAATATATGAGAATTTAATTCTGACATGTTGTTTTGGTATTACATTTCAATCTTTCCAACTTGGATCCAAACACATAACCAGGCCTGTTTTTAGTTTGATTTCAGAAACTTAAGACAATCAAGATTCTTAGAGTAAACCCAATAATGAGATGCCACAAAATAGGAACATCAGTGGTTTGCAAGCTTGAAATGATTTTACAATGTGAATCCCCCCCATTTATTTTATTTTATTTTATTTTATTTTTGTAACTCTTTCAAATGGAGTTTACTAGCTGTCTTTGCACTAGGCAATATCTTTCAGCAAAATCTATTTCAGTGTGCTTGGATGGAAATGGCTATGTTATGGACCCATATTTTAATGACAAAAGGCTGCACAAGATATAATTTTTCTGTAACACATATCATTCCAATTTTCATTACGCAACTTGAACCAAATTAAAGACCTTCTGGGCCCTTACATATGCCACACACAATACTTGCACTTACTTTCCAAAACAATTACAAAATATGTTGATTTTTACAGTTCATGACCATTTCATTTCTCTGCAAGCATCACATTTCTTCAAGTAGATAACTGAACATGCTAGTCTCTGAAAAAATTAGCAAATTTAGCTGACAAGCTAAATTACACCACTGAAAATGTAGCCAAAACAATACAAACTTCTAAAATCATGCACTTAAAAAAACAAAGTACTGCATGCTCCTCCATTCCAACGTTAGGGCAAAGTGGGTATATAAACACCAAGGTTAAAAAAAGGGTTATTTTTTAAAACGAACATGTAAACCTGAAGAACTCACAAATAGTTCTCTATAGACTGAGGTAGTATTTTCACAAAAGACTAGTCCCGATGCTCTCCTCTCTTTTAAGTATCCACACCCAAATTTTCCTTCGTAGATACTCTTTAGGAAAATGCAAACGGGAGGAGAAAGCAGAAAGTCATGGGATTCTAGTAGCCTGAGGGCTCAATTAGCTTTACCATTAGCACAGATACAGAAAACTGAAGTACTGAAAATTATATGATGAAAGAATAAGCCAATAGCGCTTTTTTCCATTATTGATCTAGTTTTATCAACATTTCCAGGCAATTTTTTTTCTCCTGCAATTGGGTGCATTTTAGCTATAGATACCACTTCTACAACAAAATCACACCTTTCAATAACAGCTTTTTAGTGTACTCATGCACCACATTTTATACCAGACATCAATAAGGTTGCTACCATTGTAAATGAAAAAAAACAAACCACATAAGATTTTCTGAATATATAGAACTTGTGCTCTAACCTTAATTGGTAGCCGTTCTGCACAAAGGGAAAAAGCTTTATTTCTTTTAAGGAAATGTTAATGTTATACTATCAGATGATTATGATGCAATGAGACCCATTATTATACATTGTTTCTTGATTTTTTTAAAAAAAGTTAAAAAGTATTCTATTCAGGAGTTCCAGGACATAAAATGAAAATAAAATTATAACACAAACACAATAACAAATCCAAGATTTCGCCTCATGTACTGCAGAAATGCTCTGGTGCCCTCAGATCACAAGTCTTGACAAAGATATACCAACATTTTTATTGGCGTAGTAATGATTGCAACACATCCTTCCAAAGGACTTTTCATAACTGGGAGATTAATCCCAGGCAATCAAGAGTTGCCACTTCATTGTTTAGCATTGATCCATGACTCTGACAACCTTTTTTTTTTTGGCTTAGAGGCCACAAGAGATCTAAGACAAGGATATGATTCTTGAAAGACTGGGTTTAATTTATTCCAGTCTTGAATAAGACCCTCCAATAAATAAAAAATGGAAAAGGAATCCCATTTTAGGATGGGATTACTTTGAATACTTTTTATATATATATTTTTAGTAACTTATCTAATTTGGAAAGATTTGTCTAAATTCTGTACAGTTAGTCCTTGTCTTATTACCACAACTGAGCCCACAATTTCCGTTACTAAGCAAGATAGTAGTTAAGAGAGTTTTGTCTCACTCACTGCAGTTGTTAAGTTAGTAATATAGCAGTTCAGTGAATCTGGCTTCCCCATTGTCTTTACTTGTCAGAAGATCTCAAAAAGTGATCACATGACTCCTGGACACTGCAACTGTCATAAATAAATGCCAGTTATCAAGCATCCAAATCTTGATCATATTACCACACAATGCTGCAACGGTTCTTCAGTGCCAATGTAACTTTGAACAGTTACTAAACGAATCATTGTAAGTCGTGGACTACCTGTATATGATTATTCACTATTATATTTTTTTATCAAAGAAAAGAATAGAAAAGTTATACCAGAACAAGTTTTAAAAAATGTTGCCAATCAACTTCCTATATATGCACCATTATCATTATTACCAACTTTATCTAATGTTCAGGAGGAATTCTGTTTTTGAAATGGCAAAATCATAAATCAGAAAACTTCATAATGACCATTGATACTTGTCTAATATTTTATCTTCAAATCACATTAGTAAACTTCATTAGAAGTTTCTTTCTTAAAGGCTAGATGAAGAAAACAAATGTATGCTTTACTACAAATATTAAAGGTATTAAAAGACATACCATGGTTTACAGTTTAAATCTATGGATTTTTCCATGAAGCACTCCAATTATACATATTTGGGTTCTCTCTGAAAAATCTGTACAATCAGAGCAATGTGTGTGGGCACATTTTATTTTTACAAAGTGAAAGGTGTTTCCACAGCTATTCTGGGAACTGCTATTTGGGGACAGTAAACAGATCTTTTAATTATAAGCTTGCAAGCATATGTGGGAAAGTATTCACACCAACCCTGCTCAAACATTTATGTATATGAAAAATAGCCTAGAATAGAAAAAAAAGTCATTTTCATTAGCAATTCACATCAGAAGCTCGTTTTAGGTTATCTCTACTGATTTCCTATAACAAAAGCACAATATGTCCTTGCTCAGATCACCCTACTATATTGTTTGGATTTTAATTTTTTTTACCTTAAATGAGATTCCATTCATAGAAGGAAAAGCACCATTTGAATGCAAGTATGCATAGATATGTCCTAAGCATCATAGTTTTAGATTAAAAGCGTCTTCCTTCATTTGAAGGTGGAATTGACCAACTATCTATTTTTCCTTTCACAAGTGTCCACAAAATTCTTTTATAAGATTACCCATTAATAAATGCTTTTAATTTATTGTAAATTAAAATGGCATTGTTCTATAAACGTGATTAGATTACTGATTCTGCAAAATAAATTCAGCCACCAGGTATGTTTATCATAGAAAATTACCAATGTTATGGAATGCATGAGGAAAAGTAATTAAAACATAAAGTGATTAGTGAGGCAAAGTGGCACAGTAGTAAGCAATGTGTGACCGAAGAAAATTAAGAATCACTCAAGAGAAGCTTCATTATCACCCAAAACTTACTGGCAGATTTCTTGCTGAATCCAAATAAAGAATAAGCAATGCTGAAGAAAGCCCATCGTTGGCTTGATCTTTATCAGCTCTTATGCTTTTTAGCACCTAAAATCATAAAAGTATTAAAAACTTTAGTTTTGTGCTTCATCTTTAACTAAAAAGAAAGCAACTTAAAAAGTGCAAACTAGAAAATAAACTGCAATCATACATAATAATTTAAAACTGTATTATTATATCTTATATATCAAAGAACAAGAGAGCCAACAGTTATCCTAAAGTAAAATGCTTTAACTTTTTCCAAACATAACCAAACTAGGTGTGAATAAAAATTCCTTATCTGAAAAGAAATTCCGCAACATGGGAATGTTTTCACTGCATTATTCTTGCTGTTAATGCTATTTCTAAAATTCTACGTAATTTTTTTCTGTATTAACTGTTCAGCATATGACAAATGATATGAAAAGCAATATTTCCTTTTTTATATATAATAATTTTATTGTAAAGACAATTACCACAATAAAAACTAATAGAAGAATAAAAAGAAAGAATAGAGGGTATAAAAGAGAAAAAGGGGAAAAGAATAGAAAAGAAAAATAATATAAGACAATAATATAAGAAATATAAAGAAGTAATTCCCATCTTCATTACAAGTATATGCAATTTTAGTAACATACCACCTTCTCCTAAAATACAACAAATGACATCTACTTCCCATATCCCATTTTTTTATCTATAAACAAATCTATAAAACACTATTATTTTACTAGTATTGGTAGCAAAACTCCACTAAGGACTACTAGAGATAACAACTATTTTACTTTTAATCAAACAAATCAACTTCATATTCTTTCCTTTTACTTTTTATAATTTTAATCTTTAGTTTCTTCAAATAATGTCATAGAAATTTGATTTCATTTTTTCTTTGTCCCTTCTCACAAAATTCTTCAAAAGTAAAAATAAAATCTTATCTAGATCCTTAGTTCATTTGTAACTTTCTAAAATCAAAGTTTTAATCACTCTCTTGCTATTTATTCAAAAAAGTTTTTTTTTTCCTTAGTTCTTAAACTTGAAATTAAAACTCATCTGGTGCTATAAAACCTGTTGATCCAAACATTTCTAATAGCTAAAATGCAGTTAACACACTATTTCCAAAAGTGATTAGAAAAATATGCAAATTTACTATTCTTTCAAAGCTGTCAAATATGATTTGAGCAAGATAGTTGTTCTCTCATCTCCCAGGGCTCCAAATAGACCAAAGGCTGCTATCTTGCAGTCTCCTCACGAGGAGCAGCTGACTGGAGCATCTGTAGGCAACCTCAAGTCCTCTCCTTGTCCAGAGAGGAATTATTAAAGAGCTAGTCTACTCGCTGGCTCTTCATTTGCCACAGTCATTGGCTCTGTTTTCTGCCAAGCAGTCTTCAGTCTGCCATTTCTTTCCCAAAGGTTGAAAAGCAACATGATGAAACCCTTTCCCTCTTGCTAGGAGAATTTTGGATTTTTGTGCCTAAACAAAACTTTTGTTTTTATTCTGTGCTCTTCTAGAAATAGAGCACGTCTAAATGAATGTGGACAACCACACATATAAAGATGTATTTTTAATGACAGTCTTTTCAAATGCTAAAAAAAGAGTATATAAATATACCTGGTCAAGACTTTCAACAGTAGGCTTCAATGTGAGCCATTCGAGTTTCAAGTGCAATTTTCCTTTGGAGACTTCATCCAAAGTAAACCACTGTAAGGAAAGTCCATAAACTGTAGTAAGAACCAAAGCCATTTGCTGAAAAATTTATCAACATTACATACAAATTCCTGGAATAAGTCAACTAAGGACATTTCATATGAAAAGGCATTGTAGCTGACAGAATAAAAGCATTTTATCAAATAGGCAAATAGAGATTTCACCCAGAAAACTATAGTAAAGTTGTTTCACAATAAGATATATGCAATGACTTTTTAGAATTAAGCGTTTGAATATTTAGCTTAGGACAACTCAAAACACATTTAGCAGGAACTTTTATAGCCATCTGCAGCATTCTGTAATCATATGACCACATTTTATGATTGTTTTTCCAAAAACTTGCACTTATTTCTGGTTTTTGGCAAAATCATGTCCATAGCAAACCACTGTTTGCTTAACAACCACAGCATTTGTTCAATAACTATGGATTCATTTAACAACCACTTCAAAAAAGATAATAAAATCAAGATGGTCACATGATTGACCCCTTTTATAATTGTCATGTCTTATGATCATGATGGGCAGGCTCCTTATGGGTGTAAGTCGAGGATTGCTTATATTTCACTCCTATGGCTGGTGTCTTCCATTCTACTTGTTAACACAAAATGCTATAATCAAACTAAGAAAATCTATTCAAGGAAATCTGAAGCCTTTGCTGAAATTGCAAAACAGATCCAATATTTGATTAAGCACTGCAGATTTATTGTATGAACCTTCCTTGTCACTGTCCTCCCCAGGCTGAATAGAGATTTACCTCATCTATGTGACGTTCCTTTTCAACTTCAATTAGGTCTATTGTCAGGCTAAAAAAACACAATGCAATGCATTAGAAGACCATTATCTGAACTACAGAACCTGAAGCTGGAATTTTGTACCAGCAAAATAGTGAATATGCTAGAAAAAACTAAAAAAGCAATTCTGAACAAAAAAAAAAGGATATGTGATTGAGGTATGAAACAAAGGTTATCTTGTTTTAAGAATTGTGAATAAGATGGTAGGATCTGCTGCAGAAAAGTTTAGGTCTTTGAAGCAGAAGAACAAGATGTCGGGAGGGAGGGAGAAGAGAAGCAAGGATGAACCATTTTATGGTTGTCCATTCCTTATGTAGTAAAGGCCAAACATACTTATATTCAAGGTGAAAAAAAAATGGTGTGCAGTAATTATAGCTGTGAATTGCTACTTCTACTACAATCAATATTGCTTTGCTTTCTTTTCATATGGTAACTTTTAAAAAAAATTATACCAAAAGTATTAACAACTTTTGGAAGGCACAGAATTTTGCATACACCCAGGTAATAATAGAATATATTGGAAATATATTTGCTGCTAGCTTCTTTCTGACTCTTAGAGCTTACCTTTACTCCTTTTTCATTTATGGACTGATCTGGATAGTGGGATCCCAGGACAGAATTTCAAATTTAAAAAGAAAAGACATGCATTCTTATCTATTAAGATGGTTTGACACTTACCTTCCTAGAAAGTCATCCTTGTCTGGATCCTCATCAAAGAGTTCAATCTCTAAGTCTTGCCCTGGATGTTCATAGACTAAGGCCTGGAAATATAACGAACAAGATAGCCAATTTAATGTTTGACTTAGATTTCAGCATTTTTAAATTAGACAAAAACATTAACAGATTACTGTCAGATATATGTTCTCTCTGATGTGATTAAAAGTTTAGGAAGCCTCTTTCCTCTGTGAGCTTAGGGCAGCGTACATGTGTTTTTATCACTTTTATCTTACAACATTTGTAAAGGTAGATTGAGTTAGTTATTCTAACTTAGCCCAAAATCATCCAATGAAGTCCATGACTAAGCAGGACCTTTAATCTGAGTTTCTCTTGTCTCAGTCTAATATCGCTTACTACAATATTCACTCCAAACCATTCATTTACTAGCATTTCCACAGTTTTTATGGTATAGATCCAATATAAAACTGCACCTTGCTAGTAAATCACAGATAAGTAAATCAGAGACATTGTGAGAAAGAATATATAGAAACCACAAGGATCATTTTTGTACTAAACATGACTTGGTGTTTTATCTGAACTGCTCTGAACTGCAACATCAATTTTTCTTCAACAGTTAAAAAAAACCATTGAAGGTCAACGTATTTATAATAGAATTATATGATATCAAGTCTTGGAGGTGCTAAAAGACTTAAACACATTTTTCAAAACTAATACTGGGCAGTAGTTTCATACCTCATAAACTTCATTCCACTTTGGATTAAGATTTTCTTTGATAACTTTGCTTTGGAAAATTTGATTTCCCAATTGAATGATTCCATAAGGGTCAGACTTTCCCTTAACGAGTCCCTTTAAGTAAGTATCTTTTCCCTCAAGATCCTGAGCTTCAAGAAAATGTATTCTTAAAACACCCTGTGAAGAGGCAAGAAAAGTTGTCCATCATACAACATTCAACAGTAAGGTATCATCAGCATAACTGAATGGAATATGTCTTAATAAGTTCCAATCTATCTCTAAAGATAGATTGGAAACTAAATTGATACTTTTAAATTCTTTATTATGGAGACTAGACACAGCAGAACTAAATTGATTTTTTTTAAAAATTATTTTGGAGACTAGACATAGTAGTTATGAATTGTTAGAATTATGCAGGTAGTGAGTAATTAAAATAAATAAAGGCACAGTTCCTCCTAATTATATCTTTGCACTTTTAATAAAGATGTACAATAAGCAACAGTAGCAGGATCTTCTGTGTGTGTGTGTGTGTGTGTGTGTGTGTGTGTGTGTGTGTGAAAAGCATTGGGATACAGCAGTGGAACTGAAGCTCTTCCCCCACTCTTTGTACACATGATGACATCAACATATGCACTAAAGGAGTGTGGTTACAATCACAACATTGCAATCTCCATTTTTACTTTTTTGATGCCCCCGTGCCCGCCTTTGCCTTGTGGACATTGCTGAGACTAGGACAAAGGAGAAAAAAAGTCACAGAGATAAGTTGCCATTAATTTTGTATTATTTACATGTATGCCATAATTTTAATAATAGGAAATGAGTTCGGCAAAAAAAAACCCCAATAATTTGTTGATGCATGAAAACTCAACTACTGTTTCCCGCCTGGACTATTGCAATGCTCTCTACATGGGGCTCCCCTTGAGGTGCACCCGGAGGCTCCAGCTAGTTCAGAATGCGGCTGTGCGGGGGATTTTGGGGGCCTCTAGATGCTCCCATGTAACACCTCTCCTGCGCGAGCTGCACTGGCTGCCGGTGGCCTTCCGAGTGCGCTTCAAGGTGTTAGTAACAACTTTTAAAGCGCTCCATGGCAATGGACCTAGGTATTTGCAAGACCGCCTCCTACCAAACACCTCCCTTCGACCAGTCCGCTCCCACAGAGAGNCTGGCGTAGTTTGGATTGTGTTTCAGTGGGGGGTTTTGTATGGGTGTGTTTTTAGAACAGGCCTATTATTCAATTTGATTTTAAAACAGAAACTATTTATTTATTCGTGGTTTTTAGTATCGCCTGTTCACCGCCCTGAGTCCCGCAAGGGAGATAGGGCGGTATATAAATTTAATAAATAAATAAATAAATAAATAAAATAAGAGACCAATAAAACCAAGTACTTTGCATGTTACAGGCGTTCAGAAATGAGTCACTTCTCCAGAGTTCCTTTCATGCTGCCATGGAAATCTCTGGAGGGAGGGGAACCACTGGGATTAGCATTTCTTAAACAAACCGGACAAATCCACCCAACTGGTTGCAACTCACAGTGTCCAGACAAATCCCAATGGTGCAGAAAGAAAAAAGACTTTCTGTGTTTTAAAATGGTCCAACAACAGCTTTAAAAGCCACGTTCAAAGAATTGTTATCTAGCTGCTAGAAATGTTTTGTTTTTTCAGTATCTAAAGTTTAGCCTTTTTATAACCATTATTGTCAGAGATTGTTCTGCAAAACACTTCGATAAACAAACATTTTGTTATGTCACAATATTATGTTAAAAAAAAACCTTACCTTTGGTATGGGGAACCGCAACTGAGCAATCTGCACTTCACTGACAAAAGGAACAGTGATTCGATTTGGAAGCACTAGATAATTAGATATTATATCTAGTATTATAGTGTCAGATAATCCGCTAAACGGGGAAAAAAAATCATTGAAGATATTTTAAGGTTAGCATTAATTACTCATGCTGCCATTATCAAAATAATTACATGCAAGCGGCATTTCTAATGCACAGCAGGGCAGGAAAATAAATATCCAAGTTGAAATTCTCTATTTCAATTTAGTCTTCTGTTTAATCTGATTTCTGGGGGGTGGTGTTTGGGGGGGGTTGTCTGGGATGTCAAACCATCAATATATTCATTCTTCAATATATTTTTATCTTCCACTTCACAATCCAGCTATATAATTTACAAAATTTACAACTAGCCCACCTATGAAAACACTCTGTCTTCCATCACCATCATCGTCTTTTACAGACTTCTGTGATTTAGTTTATATGGTATTCAGTGTTGCATAAAAGAGGCTATGGATTGTCTCTATTATTTAGAAAGGAAAATAACAGCAACAATCAGCCTATTAAATTGAATCATATGGATGAGAAACATTCCAACCCATCTCCCTTTCTTGCAGAATATTTTTAGGAGAGAAATAAATTTTTGCACAGCCCTATTTCCTTTAAGTAATGGTGCTGGTGCTGAAGATTTTGCTTTTCAAATGATCCAAAAATGGAAGTAATCCCAAAGCATGTATGAATCTCATCAATACCTTTGATCACCACAAGATGGAAACAGCAGTTTAGAATAAAACAAATGGCCTTATTATGTCTGTATAAACCTTACTCTTCCTTCCTGCATTATCTTTCATCATAATATGACTATGATGGCCTACTGATTAGCTCAAAAGGTTCCTTATTCTGCATTTCTGTTTTTTAGAGTGCAAATCGATGAGGCACTGTTAGTTTAATATTCATATTGTTTTGTTTCTAAAGGCCAAGCTGAGGCAAAACAGCAAATAAAATATGCTGTCAATTTGTCTGCTTTATTGTCTGCCTGCCCGTAAATCACCATCAATCTGCTCCCTTAGGACTTTCATCTTGTTTATAACAAATATTATGAAGTTAAATTAATCATGGCAAATGTTACAAAGTTAAATTAATTCAAAAATTAATTTGGGCTGCTATAACCCTAGCCTAAACAAAATTTATTTGTTTATTAAATTTCTATATTGCCCATCTCCCCTACAAGGTGACTCTAGACAGTTTACAAATTCTAAAAACAAGTGAAAAAATAATTAAAAGATTAAAACAGACATTACAAATTGTGCTTAAAAACAAATATTACAGAGGTAATATACATATTTTTTCCCATCACCTTTTTTGGAGAGAGGGCATGGGGGAGAGAAATAAGAATGTAATGAAGTTACTCCAGATGACGAATCAGGAAATAATGAAGTCAATCCATTAATTCTAATTAGGGTATCTTTTTATAGAATTGGTATGAAACATGAACACTGAGTCATCTCCTTCCCTGCCCATAAATACTATCCACAATCTTCTGTTGTCCTGTATCAAGCCAGGAAAGAAAACAATAAAATAGGCTGGGAAAAGCACAAGCCTTCCAGTATCTGTACATCTTAATACGCTGACTGCAAAGAAGTGGAATGCAGAGAGCAGGGTTGTCTATGTGTAGATGTACATCAGGTATAATAAAAAAGAGAGATTATTAACAACAGGGATGGGAACAGATGAAAGAAAACAGCTAATACTGGACTCTCATTAACATGACTCCAGCTCTGTTCCTGGAGCTCCCCTGGATTTGCAAGATAAATGTTTACGGCAAAATCCCAATTTAAGAAAAAAAAAAATACTCTGATCTGACTGGTATCAGTACAGCTCAAAGAGCAGCAAGTATCATGGGATTTAAGTGGTTTATATGAAATGCAGCTAGTTTATTTAATTGTAAAACATGCCTACAGTCTACCCTTGGTTACTTTCAAACAGCTGCTATATTAATGTATACTGACAAATTTTAAACAATATCTGGTACTCACATCAAAGCAGCTGTCAACAATAAAGACTAATTAAACTTCACTGTGGTTGTATACACCACCTGCCTGCTCTGTCATAATCTCACCAAAAAAAAGGTGTCAATTTTGATATTTTCCTTTGAAGTAAAAAATTTCTGGAAGGATGAGGAAAAATAGCTCCTCATGGGTGAATTAAACTTAATAAATAAATAAATAAATTTATATTCCCCCACAGCAGGAAAATCTTTACATTAGGGAACTAAGCTACCAACCTTATAGCAGCAAGGGCTGTTAATGACATGACCTTCATAAAGCACGAGAGGGCTAAGTGTCAAATATACAACACTAATGTCCCATGACCATAGCTTCTCCATTGTACAGATGGAAAGACGCAGGTTCCAACCACCATCCCCTCTCCCCAAGCAAATATATTTTCTAAACAGAAGACACATGCCACTTCTAGCTGCCACAACTCATCCGATTGAACCAGCTACCAGAAGCAGTGCAATTCTGTACTTAGTTGAACATTGCTAAATCATCAACAGGTGCTTTGGACGCTACATCTCACTGATAATTCAAAAGAGACCAGGAGCCAAGCAAGAAGTCACAGCAGACACTTTTTAGTGTGTGTGTGTGGGGAGAAATGAAGAGAGCTAGTATGTGATTATGAAGACAATTTCTTCATAAGACAATAGAGATATTTATATCTCTATTAAGGGTGCATCAAATAATGTCAGACACCATTTTTGGATTTCATCAGCTATGGTTGGCTGATTGCAGCTTTGCTGATTGATGGTTTCATTTCTTACTGAGTCTATCAGTGTGATGCCAAGGATTCTACAGAGAGAGTACATTTGGAAGGTTTCCACGTTTTAGATTTCTGGCTATGTAAGGGTCCATGATTCAGCTCCCTATAGTAGCAATAATGGTATCAGTGGACAAAACAGTCACATTTTAGTCGATATAGTAATGTTAGGCATCTGATGATTAAACAAAAGCTGCTGGGGCAATCCAGTTTTGGTGCTTCACTTCAGCTGTTAAGGCACTTTCCCACCCTGTAGTATAAGGCCAAAACCTTTCCTAATTTGCACTCCATTTAAGTCTATGACTGCTGGTGAACAATCAGTGGTGGTAGGTTCTTTTAGAGCGCCAAAGAATTGAGGCCTTTGAACTATGGTGCTGGAGAAGACTCCTGCGAGTCCCCTGGACTGCAAGGTGATCAAACCGGACAGTCCTAGAGGAGATCAACCCTGACTGCTCTTTAGAAGGCCAGATCTTGAAGTTGGAACTCAAGTACTTTGGCCACCTAATGAGAAGGAAGGACTCACTGGAGAAGAGCCTAATGCTGGGAAAGATTGAGGGCAATAGAAGAAGGGGACAACAGAGAATGAGGTGGCTGGATGGAGTCACTGAAGCAGTAGACGTGAGCTTAAATGGACTCCAGAAGATGGTAAAGGACAGGAAGGCCTGGAGGAAAGTTGTCCATGGGGTCGCAATGGGTCGGACACGACTTTGCAACTAATAACAAGTGCACTGTGGAAAGCACTTGCTGCTGAGAGAAATAAATCAGATGGTTCCCGTGGCACACTTGTGATGCCTCAACCTGTGCTGTTCACATCAAAAGTTGACTGTCAGAAGGTTTCCCAGTCTGCATAAGGTCATGTCAAGGACGTGTCCTATCTCACTACCATTCTGTATAAGTGGTCCTCAACTTACAACTACAATTGGGACCAGAATTTCCATTGCTAAGTAAGACTGTTTGTTAAAACAAGTCACACCAATTTTATGTCCTTTTTGGACATGGTTAAATGAACCACTGCAGTTGTTAAGTGAAGCACATGGTCCTTAAGCAATTCTAGCTTCCTAATTGACTTTGCTTGTTGGGAAGTCTGGCAGGGAAGGTTGCAAATGAAGATCACATGACCCCTAGATGCTGTAACCATCATAAATATATACCGGTAGCCAAGTGCCTGAATTTTGTTTATGTGACTCTTGGGATACTATGAGTCATAAATGTGAGGACTGGTCATGTCATTTTTTCAATGCCGTTGTAACTTAAACCGGTCACTAAATGGGCAATTGTAAGTTGAGGACTACCTGTATTATATGTCATCATGAGAAACATTTTCACAAATAAGTATGGAATTTGTCACTGACCTTATATATGCAGATGACTACAAAAACAATAAAAAATACAATCCTAAAAATATACCATCAGAATTAGCAATGAAATTGTTGCTATACTTTTATTTAGGAAGCTTCTGTTGTTGTTTTTTTAAATTTTCACTAGTGTACTATCAATGATCAGATAAAAGCAGAAGATGAAACTGAAATATTTAAACCTAATTAAATATCTGCAACATACAGCAATCACTAAATGCAGCTGATTTTGTTAAGGTATGTGGAAATGTACATATAAATTGTATAGAATGGCTTCATCGCTTAACCTCAAATATTTTCCACTTCAGGTCTGAAAATCGTTTGACAACAATGAAAGCTGGAATGACTTACTGTTTTTCTTTGAAAGCAAGATCCAACTAGCACTTGACAGCTAGAATGAAAATAGCTTTTCATGCATAAAAAAATGTTTTCTTCTTCATGTTACAGTATTAAAGATGACAGGAGATGTTGATTCACCCAGAAAACTGAACAGTATAGAAACCTAATTTTGTTACTGATAATTATATAAACCTTTCCCCAATAAACATTTTTCAACTAAAAAATATTTCAACTAAAACTAAAACTAAAAATATTTTCAACTAAAACTAAAACCCAACCTATCCATTAGACTTTAGCTTGTAAAATGACTGAGTCAATTAAGAATTCCATTCACAATCCTATACAGATAGTCCTCAACTTACAACAATTTGTTTAGTAATTGTTTGAAGTTACAACAGCACTGAAAAAAGTGACTTATGACCATTTTTCACACTTATGACCGTTGTAGCATCCCCATAGTCATGTGATCAAAATTCAGACACTTGACAACTGACTCATATTTATAACATTTGCAATGTCCTGGGGTCATGTGAATCCCCTTTGCAACCTTCTAATAAGCAAAGTCAATGGGGAAACCAGAATCACTTAACAACTATGGCAAGGAAAGTCGTAAAATGGGGTAAAACTCATGTGAAATGTTGGGCTCTATTGTGGCTGCAAGCTGAGAACCACCTGTATATTGCACTATTTAACCATTTTACAAACTGCAGGCTTTCATTTTTGTTCCAAGTTAAAATCAGATACTATACTTGTCTGATCATCATATGCCAAGTGTTAATATTAACCCTACTCCCAACTCAAACTCAACTTCTATCCTTCCAGTGATATCACAGGACAGCATTATATAGCCCTCAGAAGCTGGAATAGCAGATTGTGCCGAGAGCGTAAAGGAGGCATAGCAACTTCCCCTACCTGATTTTCTGGAAACTGGCAGACAAGGTTGCAAACAATAACATATTAACGTTGTAAGTGCAAGTCAGTTGTCCAGTGCCCAGATCACATGACTGCAGGGATTCTGGAACTGCCAGAATACTTAAGACTGGTCATAATCACCATCTGTTCAACACCATTGTAACTTTGAATAGTTGCTGAACGAATCATCATAAGCTGATGACTAACTGCATATAGCATGGGTTCTTTTTCACAATAGAGCATAGATGGAAGACATGCCTGTAACTTTCTGCAAAATCTGACGAACACATATGCATATTAAGTTGTACAACAGAAATAAATTCATTCAGTTTCAGCTTACTTGAGTCCTGGAATATCCAGAAGATTGGTCAGTCCTGTCCAGTTAATTTCCAAAAGCTGGAAATATATAAAAAAATAATATTAAAATATTGCTCAGAGAAACCACACCACACAGGATATACTGATGGTCAGAAGAATTTCAGCTAAAACTGAGAAAACTTTTTAACTTTTTATGTTGGTTAGAAACAATATTCTTAGACAAGAGCAATCAGTGTAGTGACCTTTTAAAGAAGTGCTCTCCAGCCTTTGCAGCTTCAAGGAGCCTGAAATTCAAGCTCCAGAATGTATTTAATTATTTATTTGTTAAATTTATCTGCTGGCCGTCTTGCCAAGGGACTAATCTGGACAGCTTACAATGGTAAAAACTAGAGAAATGAAAACAAGTGTGTAAACATTATATTATCAAAGTAATGGGTCTGGATGGGGAGGAACAGGCTTCTGTTCCTCCCCATCTGGATTATCAAAGTAATGAGTCTGGATGGGGAGGAACAGGCTTCGACTCAACCCGTCCAAGACCGAGTGGCTGTGGTTTCCGGCGTCACGTCATAGCCAGTTGGTTCCATCTCTGGCTATCGGGGGCGAGTCATTAGCTCCTGCTGAGAGGGCCCGCAACCTGGGCGTCCTCCTGGATGCTCGCCTGTCTTTAGACGATCATGACTGTCGGCACCGGTCCCCCCGAAAAGTAGTCCAAGCGGACTATGCGGTCAACGCGGGGAAAGACCTAGCACTGCGAGATGCGTGCCAGTGAGTTCGGGAGCAACAAAGGGTGGACCTGATAACGTTGCGAGAGATGTACCCCGAGGGGAACTCCACGTGGACCTCCGAGGTCGATCAAGTCTTACGCCGGCGCGCCCCGATCCTGGGGGCCTCTAGATACTCCCATGTAACACCTCTCCTGCGCGAGCTGCACTGGCTGCCAGTGGCCTTCCGGGTGCGCTTCAAGGTGTTAGTAACAACCTTTAAAGCGCTCCGTGGCAATGGACCTAGGTATTTGCAAGACCGCCTCCTACCAAACACCTCCCTTCGACCAGTCTGCTCCCAGAGAGGGCCTCCTTAGGGTGCCATCGGCCAGACAATGCCGGCTGGTGACCCTCAGGGGGAGAGCCTTCTCTGTGACAGCTCCTGCCCTCTGGAATGACCTACCCCCCGACCTACGTACAGTTGCGGACCTGCGCCTTTTTCGCCAAGCCCTGAAGGCCCATCTATTCCGTGCGGCCGGCCTGGCGTAGTTTGATTATGTTTTAGTGGGGGTTTTGTATGGGGTATTTTTAGAGCAGGCCTGTTATTTAATTTGATTTTAGAACAGAAATTTGTGTATATTTATCGTGGTTTTTATTATCGCCTGTTCACTGCCCTGAGTCCCGTAAGGGAGATAGGGCGGTATATAAATTCAATAAATAAAATAAATAATAAATAAATAATGAAATAATTATTAATTCCTTAAATAATAGAATTGCAGGAATAATGAAACTTAACATTCACATATTTGGAGATTGTCAAAGATTGGAAAACTTTAAAGTAATGTTTGTGTTTTTACCAGAATAAGACCAAGTCACATGATCTCAATTTATGACTATGCAACATATGATAATTTAAAAGCAATGAAATAAAATTTCTTTTAGGAAGGATTTTTTTTTTAAAAAAAAATCAATATATTCAATATTTGTTCCATAGCAGGTAGTTCTTGCTTACCAACATTTCCATAAGTTTCGCCCCATTTTACAAACTTTTTTGCCACAATTGCTAAGCCAATCACTGCAGTTGTTAAGTGAATCATATTAAGCAAAACTGCATCCCATGCAATCCTTTCTCCAGGTTGGAGAAGATTGCTTTAGAACAGACATATCAAACTCGCGTCACACGATGTCACACAACATATCGGGGATTTTTCCCCATTGCCTGCAATGGGGTGGGCGCAGTTTCCTTGTGACGTGTCCAGCCTGTGGGCCGGCAGTTTGACACCCCTGCTTTAGAACAACAAATTTATTCATCTGGCGATACAGCATTAATGCAGAAAATCATGCTTCAGAATTTGCAGCAAAATGGCTAATACTGCTTTCCATACTTGTGCATGATGGTCAGGTACCGATGTTGTGGAGAGAGGTTTTTCCACAGACGGGAGGGGGCGTGGTCTTGTGTGCTGCCTGCATCATGTGGATGGGGCTTTCCTTTGTTTGTGCGGACCGGTTGCTGGCATGCCGTGGCTCGGTACCGGTCCACGGATTGGGGTTGGGGACCCCTGTCAGAGACAGGCAGTACTCAAGTTACAACCGTAATGAGGAGCCTGATCATTATAGTTGTAAGTTGTCATAGTTTATGTCACCATGTGACAGTACATATTTTTATGATCTCTTTTGAGGTGGTTGTTAAGCAATTGTGGCTGTATGACAAACTTTTTTTCTTATAGCAATAGCACTTAGACTTATATACCGCTTTACAGCTCTCTCTAAGCGGTTTACACTCAGCACATTGCCCCCAACAATCTGGGTCCTCCTTTTAATGACTTCGAAAGGATGGAAGGCTGAGTCAAACTTGAGCCGGTGAAAATTGAACTGCTGAACTGTAGGCAGTTGGCAGTCAGCGCCACCACGGCTCATCATCCATTTTTGCAGTAAAATATCATAAATTGTGGTCATATGACTGCAGGATGCTGCAAACAGATGTAAATGCAAGCCAGTTGCCAAGTGCCCAACATGTGCTCAACGTGTCTCTTGATTACTTTAACACATTTCTATGTTAGCCTGTTAACATGTGTTGACTCGTCCAGAGTTTTCCTTTTCAGAAGCTTAACATTTTCATTGATCTCCAGACTGCAGATGTGCAATATGCCCCATTAGAGTGTCGCAGAGAGAGGGGAAAAATATTCCCCTTTTCCCAGACATCAGAACTCTTTTCAGTGATATAAATTGTAATTCATGGACTTTCTCCAACTGAAAAATTTAAATTCATATGGGAACAATAGACTACCCCAAGCATGTATTTATTAATTAATTAGGAAAGGTAGACTATTTCATAAACAGTGTACTAACTGTAGAACCAATATCTGGATCATACATTTAATGCAGAAAATACAATATCTCATAGATCAAGTAAAAAAAGTTACATACCATAGGTTGGATTTTAATCTAATCTGCTAATTGATATCCAGAGAATATTTATATGCGTTAAAACAGACAGATATATGCAATTCCACTAGTAATCTGAATTCATATGGGCCAGATGTAGATATAGATTTAGGCCTAAATCAGGACTTTATCCTTTTTCAGTTAGCAGACCTATTTAGTATTTTGAGAAGATATTGTGAACAATATTGCAAAATAGCTGCAGAAAGTTCTAAGGAATGAATGGTTTCAACCATTCCTAAGGGATATTCTCTACTTCCTGTTTATCTTTGTCTTTTTTCTGAACAAGGTGGGTATACTTGCAATAAACAGACATAAACATAAACACACATAATCACACACGGGCACATAGTATAACAACTCAGCATTTTATGTTCTAAGAATATGAGACGCAGAGGCAGCGTTGACAACAAAGATAGGTTGATGGCTGACACTCTGTTTTATGACATGCCAACTTGCCTTTTTATTTTAATTAAAAGGGCTTTTTGAATGCAAACAGAGGGAGGCAAGGTGTATATTAGGTCCCAATGGAAATATCAGTGGGTCCACTGGCATTTACAAACTTTACCAATAACTTGCAAAGATTAAACTGTTTTTACAATAAAGACTTGTTCATTATACCCTCATACTACCCCAAGCTTGAAAGAGAATTTGCAGTTTGCAAAAATCAAGCTTATTTACCAATATGAACTAAATATAGAATTGTCAAAGTCTACTAGCTTAAATAAAACACAAATATGTGCAGTTTGCTTAAAACCTTTAGTGGAAGAAAGGTTATAACAAAAATGTGATGATTGTTTTCTAAATCACTTCATGTTTGCTAAAGATATTTGAATAAGCATTAACATTCATACCATCTTTTGTTACTTTACCACAATGATTGATTTTTATAAGAAATACAAGGCTAAAGATGCCTGACAAAAACTTTGGCTCACAAACCACAGAAGACATAAGCAAATTCATTAAACAAGTATGTTCAGAACTATTAATTCAGGCATTGCTACCATATATAGTCATCACGGCCAGCAACAGACACTGACTAAAGAGTGCACTGAATTATTGCCAAATGTTACTTTGGCCTGGAAAATATGAGAAGAAACATTACTAGATGCCAACTAACCCAACATTTCTCCCTCTGGACAAAATAGTGATTTTTCTCTCTTGCTGTAGCCACTGACGATCCAAGTGATAGAAAACGGCTGTAATAAAATATCTGCTTGTAACTCCAAAGGAAGGACATGTAAGAATTCTATTCTATTAAATATTATAGATTATTGTATTACTTTGTTGCAAATTATAAACGTTAGCTTCATTTTAATGATAGTTAAACCTTAGGATTGTGATCCTGGAAAACTACAATATTAATATGGGGGCTGTTCTTAAGTGTTCTGGCTGCAGACATTATAGCTGCCTTGACGCTTATAAAGCTTGCTCAGAATGACAGTTGTCTAAAAGATATTTTAACCGAATTCTGGTTTATTATTACTGAGTAAATGTTTTAATCTATATTTTAAGACTTTACATTGCCTTAAACATAGACTCCAACTTTTCAGTGCTCCAATAAGCACACACCAGAAATAATTTACAAACCCCAGATTACAAATTATTGAGAGACATATAAGCCAGATCTCTAGCTCTGGGTACAATACCACAGTTGTTGATTGTAAGAGGAACCAAGCACTTGTCCATTATCAATAGTTCTTCGAAATCTTACAATATTATCACTGACTACAGCAAACCTTCCTCCCTTGTGAGAGAGAGTCAGAAACTAGCAATTGATGTGAATGTGTTTTTCTGTAGGTTTGAGAGGAACTATTGTCAACTACTGTCAACTCAACTATTGCTACTCAGATATATCAACAAAAGCTAAGTCTCCTACATCCCATCCCTCTGGACCACCCACCTCTGTTGATCACAGAAAAAGATGTGCGAGGTCTATTTCACAAATAAAAAAGTGGAAAAGCACCAGGGCAGACAGGGTAACTCCCTCTTGCTTGAAAGTCTGTGCTGATCAATTGGCTCCCATCTTCACCTGCATCTTTAATAAAACACTGCAAATGTGTTATATCCCTTCTTGCTTCAAATGCTCTACTATCATGCCGGTGCCCAAGAAACCCTCCATCAGGGAGTTCAATGACTACCGACTGTTGGCTCTGACATCCATAGCTATGAAAACCTTCAAAAGATCAGCACTGCCCACCTGAAAGCTATCACGGATCTGCTGCTAGACCCCCTTGCAATTTGCCTACCGGGCAAACAGATTGGCAGATGATGCTGTCAATATGGCAATGCACTAGTTCTTGAATCCCCAAAGATCTAAGTAAGATCCTTTTTGTAGATTTCAGCTCAACATTTAACACCATCATTCCTGAAATCCTCTTCTCTAAACTGATTCAGCTAGCTGTGCCTGACCACACTGTAGACAGATCATAAGCTTTCTAATAAATAGGAAGCAGCAGGTGAAGCTAGGGAAAAATTATATCAAGTACCCTTTCAAATAGCACAGGAGCCCCCCCCCCCCCGGGCTGTGTGTTCTCTCCATTACTCTTCTCCCTATATACCAATGACTGCATCTTGAAGGATTCCTCTGTTGAAGTACTGAAGTTTGTAGATGATCCAACAGTCATTGGTCTCATTTGAGACAATGATGAATCTGCTTATAGAAGATCAACTAGACCTGTTGTGCAAGTGGAACAATCTGGAGCAGAATACTCTTAAAACTGTAGAGATGGTAATAGATTTCAGAAGAAGCTCTCCTATTCTAATACCTCTTACAATATTAGACAACACAGTATCAACAGTAGATAACTTCAAGTTTCCGGGTTCTGTAATCTTCCAGGACTTGAAATGGATGCCTAACATTAGAACCATCATTAAAAAGGCACAACACAGAATGTTCTTCCTGAGTCAACTCAAAGTTCAAATTGCCCAAGGATCTGATGATACAGTTCTACAGAGGAATTACTGAATCTGTCATGTGTGCCACTGTAACTGTCTGGTTTGGCTGCTTTGCAGATACAGATTTCAACATATAGTTAGGACTGCAGAAAAAACAATCACAACCAGCCTGCTTTCCATTGAGGATCTGTATACTGCACGAACCAGAAAGAGGGCTGAGAAAATATCTACAGATCCTGGACATAATCTATTTTAACTCTCCCCTCAAGACGCTGCTATAAAGCATGGCATGCCAAAATAACCAGACATAAAGAAAGCTTTTTCCCTCTGGCCATCACTCTGCTGAACACTTAATTCCCACACAGCAGTGTCTCATCTTTCATCTTTTCTCGTCTCATCTTTCCTACTATCTTCTCCTATTGGTTTCTTATGATTTATCAATTGTTGTTTGTAACTTATGATTAGTGACTGTAACTATAATTGTGGCCCATGATCTAATACTTGCTGTTTATATGTACACCATGAGCTTATGCACTGGAACAAATTCCTCGTGTGTCCGATCACACACACAATAAAGAACTCTGGTCAATAAAGAATTCTTTTCTATTCTATTCTCATATTATGCTAAAACAGTTACGAGGGGGAAAAAAGAAAATATAGAAATTTTCCACTTACTGGTTTTCTAAGGAAAAATAAAGATACCGCTCCAATTAAGGGCATATCGCCAAGCAGAGGTTCCAGTATAACTCTCATTGTGCCATGAATCTAAAAGAAAAAAAAGAAAACAGCCATGATCAAAGCACTAAGGCAGTTTGGTGTAGCAGTTAAAGGCATCAGGCAATCAATCCAGAGACCATGAGTTCCATTCCGTCTCACACACAAAACCAGTCGGGTAACCTCAGATCAGTCATTCTCAATGCTAGCAAGCAAGTAATGGCAAACTACTTCTGAAATCTTTCCAAGAGAACATCAGAACCCAGTCCATGCAGTCACCAGGAGTAAAAGGTTGACTCAAGGGTACCTGCATGTATAGATACCTGTGTTTCCCTGAAAATAAGACCAGGTCTTTTCTTTTCTTTTACCTACAAAAGAGGCACCAGGTCTTATTTTCAGGGCATGTCTTTTATATCACCTCCGGTACCGACAGCCCCACCCATTTTGCAGTCAGGCCTTTCTGGAAGGTCTCTGCAGCCTCTGAATCCATAGCTTGGTCCTCGACTACAGAGGTCTTGCAGAACCAAGCTATGGATTGAATCCATAGCTTGCTTCTTGGCTGCACAGGCCTTCTGGAAAGGCCTGTGACTGAGAAATGCAGGCCTGGCTGCAGAAGACACCACAGAAGAAGTGGGTCGCGAGGAGAGGCCTGGCTGCAAGGTAAGTGGGTGCATGGGGTAGCTCCACCCGCCACCTTGATTTTTAGGTGTGTGCCTCACCCCAAAACTAGGCCTTATTTTGAGGTAGGGCTTATATTAGGCCCACCCCCAAAAATCAAGCTAGAGCTTATTTCCGGGGTAGGTCTTACTTTTAGGGAAACAGAGTACACAGCACTAACCATGAATTAAAGATTACTTTAACTATTATATATTATGCAGAAGGTTTTTTTTATAAATCTGAACTTGAATGTTAAACAGAATAAAACTATATCATTTCAATTGCAGCTGAGGACTAAAGGTGCATTTATGGAAATATGAACTGGTAACAAAATATAATGGATAGAAGGAAAAGAAATTTACCTGTATACTTTTCACTCCAGCTCTACAGAAGTATCTCTTGATCTCCAAATCAATTTCACAGTTTCCCACAAAACTGAGAAATATAAGAAAACACTGTATAGTTGTACTATATATACAATCCATTAATACATTGCTATTAAAAACCAATTTCAGGACACCAAAAAGTTTAAGAATTCATTTTTTCTCTAAATTATAGCGAGACTGTAACCCACTGCAGCTTGGCTAAAATATACCTTTAACTATCTTGTATATGTTATACAACCACCATCACAGCAAAAATGTTAATTTGTTTAATGTTAAAGTGTTTAATATGAATTTTATACATTATTATATATTTATTATATTGTACACCACCCAGAACCCCTTTCTAAGGGAGATGGGCAGTTAAAAAATAGGAAAAATGAGTAAGTAAGTAAATAAATAAATAAATATTTTTTAAAAAAAATTCTGCTCCCTCCCCCTTTAATTTAATACTGTGCTAGTTTAGACTGCACATCTAACAAATTAAACAAGTCAAAAAGGGAAAAGATTAGTTGGTTGTACCCAAACAATTAATGACCTTCAGGTCCATATGGATTGGCTTAAGTCTTTGCAACACAGCTTACATGAAATATGATCTACCATTTGGACACAGACTGAAGCAGAACACTTTATCCACTGAGTGCATAATGGCTGTGAACTATTTACAGCTAAATCAATGTGCAGATCCAAGATATGACTTCAGACCTTTTATATACAGAGCCCCACTGCTTGCCTTTTATTTCATTAATATTCTCACAATTTAAAAAGTGATTGTTTTCCATACTGTGCAAAAAGGGAGAAGCAAAAGAGCTTTACTTTTAATATTAACGAACAAGAATACAACAATTACATTATCCATTAAACCTTAAGCTCTTCATCATGAGTAGCATCAAGAGTATTTGCTCATTCAGAATGCAAGGCTGATATAGTCACTTGGCCAAAAAAAGAATGAAATGGGGAAGTACTATAGTAGTTAAGATTAGATTTATTCTTTCATCAGATCATGCATCAATCTTAGATGACACAGTGTTTTAGTAACATCCTTCTAGCATCCTAGAAGTGTAATAGCAAATAATACAAACCTCCACACCTGCAAGAAACCTAGAGGTCTATTTTGCTCCAACAGCACCATCACATGCCCCAACAAATATAATACACAAATTTAGGGGCCCGTGTACACAATTTTCCTCCAATGTGATAATTATACCAGCTCTCACCACAATGCTCCTCTGGATTTTATACAGGAAAAATGGGACGAACCTTGGCCCACTAAGTAAATGGACACATCAGGACTCATCAAGGGCAAAATATTAGACTATTTCAATGCCCACAGACCCTAAAGTATCTATTTAGAAAGAATGCAACTTTAAATCAAAATTGAGTGAGAAATTATTGAACTCATATCAGAATGTTAATGCTTAATGTTTTAAATATTTGTTCATGATAGTGGTTTATGATATTTATTGTTTGTTTTGTTATAGGTTGCCCAGAGTCACTTGCTTGTGAAAAAATGACTCTATAACTTAGACAAACAAACTAAAATCTTTCAGGCAATCTTAGAAGGTGCCAACAAACAAGAAGGTCTTTAACACACTAGAAAAAGTAATTGATAATAAGATGCTTATAAATCTGGCTCACATACAATCTGCACAACTAACCTATCTTCCCCTCCTTTCAACTTCTGTCTTTATCCTGTATCAGTCTAATTACTTTATGTACCTGTTGAAAGTAATTCATGAAAGCTTATGCCTTCTAATAAAAGTTAATAAAAGGAGCTACTTGCAAATAATTTTGCCTCAACAGACTAACATAGCTTTCTTCCTTCAAAGCAAGTAACATGTGATTTACGATTTGAACAATTTCCCAAAAGCTAATTTAAACACCCCAATAACTTGGAAGACAGACTTTTTTGTCATTGCCCCCCCCCCGCCACTTTCCTGGCCTTCCGAAAAGAGGTTAAAACATGGCTCTGTGGCCTTGCATAAGGAGCCCAAAGGAACACACAGTTGTGGGGTTGGCTGGTGCCATGAGAGTCCTCCCTCCCTTTGGCTAAAATTGCCTCCTTGAAAACTTTCATAATTCTAAAACTTTTAAAATTTAAATTCTAAAATGTTAACATCTTCATTTTTATATACTATTTTATATTTTGATGTTGTATTATAAACGCCCCGAGTCCGACTTTAAAGGAGATGGGTGGTCCAGAAATGTGAAATATAAACAAACAAACATTTTTACTTTTATTGCAGGGCACTAAAATCAAAAGAAAAAAGAAAAAGAAAAGGGCCCCAAAATGTAAGTATTTGTTTTCAGGTTTACTAACTACAACATTTTAAAACTTCTTTTTAAAATGTGGGATTTCCATTTAATGGAATTCAACCAAGAGAGTCCAGTTGCCTTTAGGAAAAAGCACCTTTGGGATAACATGACCTGGATGACTGAGAATCTCCATAGACATTTAATGGAACTTAGACTGTTTATAATCATTCACTTTAAATGTTATTTTTTCATTACTAACTGGTAAAAATTGCCTAGACTGTAGCAAGTTATAAATGGAGTAAATAATTTTTTCAGGTCCATAATAGAAAGAAAACGGCTAGTTTCCAAACATATTATCTTCTTCTTTTCTTCTTCTTTTTGATAGACATCTGGGAATAGGGGATATTTGGAAACAAGTCTGTTTTTTTCCTGATTATTATAGCAACGAAAGGAGAAATGAGCATAAACTAAATTCACACAAGTAACATATTTTTGTTATAGCTTTCATTAGTGCTATTAATGAAAAATCTGGAGATATAGAAATTGACTCCCGCATTACTGGAATACAACGTAAGAAGTTATTTATCCTGTTTTCAAGAAAGCACTTCGAAGTTTTATTGTGCCATCATACTATAAAACAGTGGTATGTTATTTTTGCTAGCTTAATTTCTGTGCAGCAATGCTTTCCTGCTTAGTGTTGCATAATGGTTCCATTAACATATAGTGGGCTTCTTTATTTTTATAATGAGCTAAAAGATATTTCTTTCTCCAAGAAACAAGTATTGCAACATTTTTGCAATGAAGAACACATTTTAAGGAATTTAAGACACAGTATATGCTTACTAGGACAAGATTACCTGATTTGTAGATCCAAAATGATCTGCCTTTTATCCACATTTTCAGTATACACTTTCACACCATTGATCCTAATGGGCTGAAATAAAAAATTCCAATTTAATAGATCAATAGGTCTGCAAGAACGATGTTAAATGTAAAACTCTTCCACTTTATTTAAAATGTTGTATTATGTAAAAACAGATCTAGATGCTTACAGAGCTGATAATGTCAGATTGAAAAGATTACTATGCTGAATATAAAGAATACATGTATTTTAAAAGGCAGCTCACTGGACAAGCACTACTAAACAGCAATAGCATCAGAGAAACCAGGAAAGAAATTTTTAGTTGAAAGCTTGCAATCTACTTTAGTTCAAATCTTACAATCTAATTGATTTTTTTTACCATTAATACTGACTTGAATTTAGAAAATGCTATTGCAACATTACGCTTGGTTTGATGAGAAAGCACCAATGGAAATAATTGGCCCAGCTCTGAATTTTTTTAATATTAGTGTGGACTGCTAAAATCAATCTCATCCTGCACATGTATCCCTTTAACTTGTTCTTAATAAAAGTGCACAGTTGTTAATCACTATTAATAAATACACACACCCATATACACAAAGACACCATGATATGCAGAGCCAGGCACCCATTGCTTCAGATTCTTAAATCAACAGAGCAGAGTTGAGCAAACAAAATCTGCTCTTAGCAGAAGCTTTAGTGATTATGTGCCTGCCCTCTGAGCAAGATTTTCCAAAGGAGAATGGAGCAACATTTATTCAGTATATATATTTAGACCGCCAGCATTGATGTTCAAAAACTTGAATAATCTCGTAATATGAGTAGTTTACATTTTGCACCATAAATACTCCTTTTATCACCATAGCAATCAAACAACTAATACAATACAGTATCTTGCTAGATAGGAAGCATATCAACCTACTCCACCCCACCCAACCCAGCCCAAATAGTTATGCAAAATTTACTGAAACTCAAAACAAACCAAGATAGATACTTAAATGTAGATATAAGGCAAGGTAAACCATATAATCTAGTTCTCTTAGGCATGCGTGCGTGCACACACCCGTGTGTTTGTGTAATGTGGTACTGAGACTATAAATCAGGTAGTCCTCACTTATGACCATAGTTGAGCCCAAGATTTATGTTGCTAAGTGAGACATTTGTTAAGTGAGTTTTGCCCCTTTTTACAACCTTTCTTGCCACAGTTGTTAAGTGAATCCCTGCAGATATTAAGTTAGTAATACAGTTTGTTAAGTGAATCTGGCTTCCCCATTGACTTTGTTTGTCAGAAGTTGCAAAAGGTGATCACATGATCCCAGGACACTGCAACCGTCATAAATACATGCCAGTTGCCAAGTGTCCTAATTTTTATCACGTGACCATGGGGATGCTGCAATAGTTGTAAGTTTGAAAAATGGTCATAAGTCACTTTTTTCAGTGACTTCTAACAGTCACTAAACGAATGTACGTTGTAAGTCGAGGACTACAGATACAGGACTCCTGTTAAACAGTAGCATTCACTAACATGAACTGTAATTCAAATAATCCGAAACAAGATTTTGGAATTAAAAAAAATATTCTTCTATCAATGATAAACATATTCAGAAAAATACACTCAGGGAATTTTCATTTTTTTTCAGGGTACCAAATTATTGCTTTTCAATTGCTTCTGGGATAAATAAAAGCAAAGCCATGACCTCAGTATAATATCTGATGGTTCAGTCTAGCTTCCAGAAAAAGGCATACCTGGTGCCCTATATCAATTTTTGTGAAACTGAAAGTACTCAAGTGGCTGTTTGCTCCTTTTACTGCAGGCTCTATTGTTTCACGGAAGAGCTTCTCAATAAACTGGCAAATGAAAGGCCACATATGTTTCACTGTCTGCAAAAAAAGAAAAGAGACCACTAAGTTTTCAATGTTAATCCATGATCATGACATTAGCCCCATTTCATTAAAAATGTGAATTTCTGTATAGTTAGCCATACAGCAACCCCTTAACAATTATACTAGAGGAGAATTCTTAACTGAATATTGATTTACATCCAATCACATAAAAAAGAGGGACAATAAGCAGTCCAATAATTAAGTGAATTCATGTACACAGGATATTTTATGCTCTATTTCCATATCATTTTCTATTATAAAACAGTATGTGATTTTCCGAGTGTTCCCAGATTTGAAGCTAACATATTATTTTGCTAATCTTGAATTGCCCTAATCAAAATACCGCCTTATTGATTTAATATTTTTTTCAGTCTAATTATCCTTTCAAATAAATACATTGGTCAATAGCAATTTGACCAAGAGTCAATAGCAATTTGATGCCAATAATCAAACAATCCCCTTTTCCTTTAAAATCCCGCTAACATATAAAAGCTAGCAAACATTATATTACAACCACAATTTCAGAAAGATGAACTTTTTTGCATTTAGTACAACTGCTACTTAACTTTCAAGCCCAACAAAACAGCATTTGTAGCTTTTAGAACAGTGGTTCTCAACCTTTTTAATGCCGCGACCCCAACCGGTCGTAAGTCGAGGACTAAACTGGTCGTAAGTCGAGGACTAAACCAGTTGTAAGTCGAGGACTAAACCGGTCGTAAGTCGAGGACTTTCCCTGCCCAGGAGCGCCGCGCATGCGTGGTTCTGGCCCCTGCGCCGGCCGAGGCGTAGCTGGCAAGCGGCAGAGACGGAGCAGGTCGACCACCAGCTGGCCCAGCCCAAGGGAGGTAAGGCACCCACTGGAAAAGGGGAAAAAAATGGTGGACAAAAAAAATGGCGGAAAGCCTTGCTTGGCGACCCCCATGAAATGGTCGATCGACCCCAAATGGGGTCCCGACCCACAGGTTGAGAACCACTGTTTTAGAAGATCTAAAATAGTACAATAAAAGCCCACCAAGTAAGAAATCTATTTTGCAACAAAGACAACATTACATACTTTTACAAAAACTTCTAAACAGTAAGAATGTCAGTTTACCTTATTTAGCCATTCTGCTCTTTCAGTATCTGGAAAGTGGACCTGGTGCAAATTAAAAACAAAAGTTACAAATTAAGACAAAAAAGTTTTGAAAAGAAAATCACAATGACCAGGAAACAAATCAGAGGAATCTGAAAATACGAAATGGCTTCAAATTTATTAGTAACCATTAATAATTTTCTCATCTAGCAGTGGCCATGATAATTCTGAATAAATAAGATGTATCTGATTTTAGCATTAATTTATATATACAGTAGATAACATTCAGCTGCTAAACCAGTGCTTCTCAAACCATAATCTAAACAACTAGATAACCCTTTCCCCCCCAGGAATAAAACTAATAATTCCATAGGTATTAGGCTGGCTAAGAAATAAAGATGCTAGTTTAATAATTAGTTTTTAATCTATATATTGCACAGACTCACAAACTTTGCTGCAAACCAACTGTCTACTGCACCTTTGCACAAGCAAATTGAGGAGCAAAAACCAGTTTGGATAGTCCTACTTTCCTACCCAATCCTATTTTAAAAACATCAGTAAACCCACATTCACAGTTTGAAAACCCTTTACTGAAGTATTGACTTGATTTATTGAAAAGGTATTTTATCAATATAATTGGTTTATATAGGAAGACCAGGAATTGTTTTCATATTTTGCCTCTTTCTTAAATTTATATAATTTTAATGGTAGTCCTCTACTACCAGAATTTCTGTTGCTAAGTGAGTCACATCCAATTTTATGACCTCTTTTGGCACAGCTGTAAAGTGAATCATTACAGTTGGTAAGCAAATGCATTTTCCCCCCAATTGGCTTTCTTTGTCAAAAGCCAGCTGGGAAGATCTCAAATGATCATATGACTTCAAGATGCTGCAACTAATGTAAATTATATGCCAGTTGCTAAGCACCTGAATCTTGATCATGTGACCATGGGGATGCTGCAACAGTTGAAACTGGGAGGACCAGTTACAAGTCACTTTTTTCAGCGCTGTTGTAACTTCAAATGGTCATTAAATGAAGGTTAAGTTGAGGACTAGTTGTACCTTCCAAAAAATTCAACCATATGGAAAGTTTGACTAGTGATCTTCTAAGTATTACATCTTCAAACAATATAAAAGCATATAACCGTGGTGGCGAACCTATGGCACGCATGCCACAGGTGGCACGCAGAGCCCTCTCTGTGGACACTTGCGCCGTCGCCCCAGTCCTAAGCGTTCAGGCCACTGTGTGCAAAAAAAAAAAAAGGTTCAATCAATCAATTTCAACTTCTCACGGGAAAAAAAGATCTCACAAAGTTGGAACTGATTGACTGAACTTTTTAGTCCTACCCAGTCTGCCATTACCACTGCAGCCACGCCCACCCAATTGGGCACAACCACCCAGTGAGCTACGCCCACCCGGCACACGACGATACATAAGTGGGTTTTGGGTTGCAGTTTGGGCACTCGGTCTCTAAAAGGTTCACCATCACTGGCATATAATATGCTAATCACAATATTTTGATAGTTTTGTTACAAGAAATTACGATTTGCTAACCATAAATAAAGCATCTGGATGAGTGAGAAAGTCTTTGTTTATAAATCTCAGATAGAATAGGAATTAGCAACCCACTTCTATATTGTTGCCAAGAAAACAGTATGCGTACATCTATATAGTTATCAGAATTAAGACAGAACTGATGGGGACTTTTTTTTTTGAAGGATGTATGAATGGAACCATTATGTAAATATATTAAGGTTTGATTAAAAATGCTTGTCTAAAATTATTCCGAACCTTAGTTAAAGAACTGTAAACATACATAATCCTTGACTTACAACCACAACATTTCTGTTGCTAAGTGAGACAGTTTGCCCCAATTTACAACCTTTCTCCCCACAACTGTTAAGTGAATCATTGCAATTGTTAGTAACACAACAGTTAAGTGAATCTGGCTTCCCCATTGATTTTGCTTTGAAGCTTTGAAGATTGATCACATGATCCAGGGACACTGAAACCTTCATAAATATGAACCAGTTGCCAAGCATCCAAAATTTGATCATGTAACTATGGGGATGCTGCAATGGTTGTTAGTGTGAAAAACAGTCATGTCATTTTTTTCAGTGCCGTTGTAATTTTGAACAGTCACTAAACGAATGTTTATAAGTCGAGAACTATCTGTAATTGGGCAGGCATTGCTCAACCCTTCCTTCCTGATACATATTCCCATCACAATAGCTGAAGCATTTACCCTTAGCTAAAAACTACTGTACACCAAAAACACCCTTAAGCTATATCTAAACCAGCCTTTAAAGCTGAACTAACCAGTTCAGATCCATAAACTTAAGCTAATAGTTTACCAGCATTCTGGAGATGAACTTTTATGAGTTAATTGACACTCAGTAATGGCATTTTTATTGGTGCTGCTGGTTCACTGCAGGGAAGGAAAAAAACCGATGACTGACTCACAGTTAAGAGATTTTTAAAACAGCTTGCATATAGATTTTTTTTGTTTGTTTCAAACTTGCAACACCCCGGCTAAAAGGGCTATTTTTAATGTGCTTAAGTACATGAGAACTATCAATAATATATATTGGATGCTTCTAAGTATTATTATACAATATTTTATTTAGACAGAATTCAATTACAAGGGTCAGTCAAATATGATTCACCTGGCAGATATAAGCAATGTCTCCCTACAACTTACATTCAGATCTATTCACTCCAAATCGAAAAAATTAAAACTTCTTTTTTGAATCTAAATAAACTTATGTTTTGACATCTCATTGCCAAAAAGAATAAGGTCTATATTGTAAGATTATAAGCAGCTGTGAAACAATTGAAAGGTATATGGAAATCCTCAAGTGATAATAGACATGTTCTTTAATGTATAGTCATTTATTCTATCTTCACATAATAATTGTGACACGTAATTGTAAAAACTGCCAATGTCAAACTGACTTTGCGTTTGCGGTTAGCATAGTAAAGACCAAACATGCATTTTCAATGTTTTAGGATTTAACACATTTAAGAAAGCCTCTACTCAGAAGCCAACAAAAACAGTTCCCTTAAATGCCACAGTTGAAGTTACTTAAAAGTGTTTTTTTTTTAAAAAAAAAGATTTGTTTTAAAGTGCTTTTTTAAAGAAAGTTTTCTAATAGCATCATTTCTATGCTTCATCTTCCTGGTTAATACATTTTCACCAACATTTGAAACCATTTTTTATTACAAATCATTATTAGCACCACTTTAGTAGAGGCTAACATATTCAAATGTTTTACAACTGAGTTGCGCAGATATGCAGATCTCCATGGCTTATTTTTTCATTTACTTCCCTTTGGCTGCCTATCTCATATTATGATCCCATAAAAAAACTTAATTAAAAACAAAAAGCATCTTACCTCTCCAATCTCTACCCCATGCTACCCCATACCAGACCTTTCTTTTAGCTCACTCAACCCCCATCCTAGCCCAATCCTTGAACAAAGAGGCAGGTCTTCACAGCCCCCTGGAAGTCTGCATCCAGTTTTGGTCACCACGATGTAAAAAAGATGTTGAGACTCTAGAAAGAGTACAGAGAAGAGCAACAAAGATGATTAGGGGACTGGAGGCTAAAACATATAAGGAACAGTTGCTGGAATTGGGTGTGTCTAGTTTAATGAAGAGAAGGACGACCCCCCTGTACTATCGTCACAAGGTTATAGAGTCCCCGACGGTGTTTCTTCTCCCTCAGTTCGATAAGAGGTTTCGCGGACTTCCGTCCTGTTCTTCGTTGCCCACCTTTGATTAGTTCCTCTCTTCGTTGGATCTTGATTCCTCTTTGAAGGACTGTCACTCTTGTTAATTCCAGTGGAACAACCTGCCTCCAGAAGCTGTGGCTCCAACACTGGAAGTTTTAAAGAAGAGATTGGACAGCCATTTGTCTGAAATGGTATAGGGTTACCTGCCTGAGCAGGGGGTTGAACTAGATGAGCTCCAAGATCCCTTCCAACTATGTCTTTTTCTTTTTATTGTTGTTGTTGTTATGTCTAAAAGGGTAAGAGATAAGAGGTAGGAGGCTGTTCCAAAGGGTTGGGGCAGCCACTGAGAAGGTGTACCTCCAAGGTCCCATCAATTGGTAATATTGAAGGGAGGAGACCTAAAGCATGACCACCCTAGAACAGGTAGATGCCTTCAGGGAGAAGTACTCCTGCAAGTAACTTCGCCTCCCCCCTCCCCAAAAAACCTAGTATTTTAAACATCTATTTTTATCAATACATTCTTGCAATTATGTTTGATCATTTTTTTCTTGAATTGCATACTAAGATATTTAGTTAGCTTCCTTGAGCTTTCTTTTAAAAAGAATCACAGCACAAAATTTAAACTAAAAATTAAATTTGTGTTCTGTATTGTGCAATTTGTTTTCCAAATAAACTACAGATTCTCAGTTTGTAATACAAGCTAAAATGATTAACAAGTTGCTCTGGAGGACACGGTAATGGAATTAAATAATGCTTCCTTTATATGATTATGATTTAAGGGGGAATTAGAAAAAAACCCTTATTATGTTCACTAGAAAAAGAAGTAAATATATTGCATCCTCATAAAACTATCACCATTATAACCCTTTTCGTTGCCTGAACTTGCTAAAAAGTATATTCCATTATATTGCAAGTGAGCCATCACCTTGACCAGTATGTACTTAAACCATTTTTAGAAGCCAAACAAATCCAAAGACATATAGTTTAGAGAGAAATTCAGTACCTATTTTATTTCCAAGCATATGATCAGTTTAGCTTTCAAAAAGCCTTAGTCATTAAGTAATAATTAATTTTGAATCCTAGCCTGAATGTTAAAGAGATTCATTAAGAAAGAGTATTAATATAACAAAACATTTCAGCAACTAAAACAAGTATTTAAATGAATGGAAAAAGCAACCGATATTTTCTGAAGGCAAGTACGAAGACCAAAATTAAATAAAAACGTTATCAATTCATACACCAATGCCTCTTTTGCAGATGTAAGATCTTATTTTTTAGATCAGATTTGAGAAAGCCTGCTTATTTCATACAGTATAACATTGCAGCATG